TCGGAATTTTACGGTAACTTGTCAGTTGGATCATGATCAATGAAAGAATATCAATGCATATATTATCTTTCTAATTCATCTAACTGCAGCTAATTCCACAACAGTCTCGCCTACTTTGCCATCATCAGCCCTTCCAACAACGATGCCAGATTCTCACACACCTTCTTCAGCTACAAGTAAGTATTCAGTTAAAGTGGCTCGAGCCGGTACCGATTTTTCAGTCACAACACCTATATGGTATTCTCTTTGAACTAAAAGTCCTAAAATTTCATCATTACTGAGAGAACTGTTCCGTGAGTTGAACGATTGTCAATATCTCAAATAGTGCTGAGATATGACATTTTTCATTTTATTTTGAAAAGTTAGTAGCACTGAAATGGGTTACCCCCTTGTATAATGAGTCTAATTTTAAACGTTTTATTGCCTTGTAAGCATTCCCTAGATTCAAGCACAATGTCAAACATCTTTAATGTCAAAAGCTAAAGTTACTATCTGTAATTTATATCAGTGTGATTGATTTAAACAAAACAAGTAGATTTGTTGCCAGAAAAGTAGGGGATGCTGGAGGCGACAAGGACGGCTGTTTTTTGCAACTGAGAATTCCGCGTCTTTTTTAAGTTTTGCCAGTTAAATGGACGACGTTATTAGACTATGGTGACAAGTTGAGGTAATTTATCGGTTAAATAATGATCGATAAAAGAATAGTATTGCATATACATTATCTTTCTAATTCATGTAATTGCAGCTAATTCCATAACAGTCTTGGCGCCTACTTCGCAATCATCAGCCCTTCCAACAACGGTACCAGGTTCTCCCACAACTTCTTCAGCTACAAGTAAGTACTCAGTTGAGTTGGCTCATTATTTAGAGAACCGTGAGTTGAACGGTTACCAATATCTCAGATATTTGCTGAGATACCGTAAAATTCCGAAAATACGCCCTGGGGCTTCTATTTTTCAAAGGCCCCTTTTGAGGGGCTTATTTTTGGAGGGGTTTATATTCGGAGGGGCTTATCTACGAAGGGAAACTTGCGTTTCAAAATCGATTGGGCTAGCCTTATAGTTGGAAGTAAATTTACCGTTTTTGCTATGTTTTACTTTGTATTTGAGGGAAATTTTCCAAGTACAAGCCCCCGGGGGGCTTAAATTTGGAGGCGCGATTTAACGGAGGGTTTTTTGTGTTACCGGTTTGGGGGGCTTATATTTCGAGGGGCTTATACATGGAGGGGCTTATTTTCGGAATTTTACGGTATGGCATTTTTCATTTTGAAAAGTTAGTAGCACTGAAATGGGTTGTTTTAATAAGCAGGTCTAATTTTAAATGTTTAATTGCTTTGCAAGCATTACCTGGATTCAAGCAGAATATCAAACATCTTAAATATCAAAAGCTAAAGGCGTGATTGATTTAACCTAGCCTGCATTCCGTAACAAGCGTTCCCAATCGAGTTATTGCGCGAAAGTTAGGCTTGATTTAACCCAACGAAAATAGGGACAGAAAAAGTGGAATCCCTACCTGCACTACTGAAGTAGAAGGCAACAGATTTGGTGTGATGACACAGGATCATAATTAATTTCGTCAATACACTGATGATGTATTACCAAAAATTAGCTTCAAGTGGCCAAAAATGAAAAAAAATAAATAATAGGGATACTCTTTTAAGAAAAAGCATCAAATGGCTCCGGGGTACTTACATTTATAATTAATACTTTTTTTATGTATATATAATAATTGCCATAACTCGAGGAATATTTGTCTCTGCAGCGAAAGACGGTTTTAGCGTTTTACTCCTCCTGCAAAGTTCTTTCTGTTGATAGAATTCTGACTTTCAAATTTAAGATTTAAGGTCACTTAAAAATCGAAACATTATTTGGTCAATAATCTTAGAATTTATATCTGGCAAATTTGTTAGAATTATTCCAAATGACTGATCTCGGGATTTTCGATTTCGTCTCGTACTACCATTCCCTAATGGCCCTTCACTGCGATGATTTATTTTAAGTTTTAGTCCGTTTTTAAATTTGTCTTTGTCTTCGTCTTTGTCTCCTCAGTGTAGCTAGTTGACAGTAGTCATGGATCGGCTTAATACTTATTGCACTACTGAAATTGTCGTTGGTTTTGTTTCAGTCTATTTTTCTTCTCCAATGACTATTCTACATCAATTACGGCCTTTACTTGAAAGTAATTAATGATCTTCGACTTCAGATTCAATCATTTCTAACATTGTTTCTTCTTTAATCTTTAATCTTTAATCACAGTTCGTAACCATACATAACTGATACAAATGAACTAATACTAACATATACAATCGAACAAAAATACAAAAATGGTTAACAGGACAACTGAGCAACTGAGAAATCTGCTTTCATTTTTCTCAGGCTTTGCCAGTAATAAATTGACTACGTTTTTAGACTATGCTGACAACTTGAGTTAAAATAACTTGTAACTTGATAATGATCGAACGATCGATTGAATAATACATATGTTGTGGTTCAATTTTATCCTTGGTTCGAGCGTTATTTTCTTTTGTTTCAGACTCATTATCGTGTCATTATCATACATAACCATGCCCAAAAACAAAAGAAATATAAGCCAAGTTTAAAATTGAACCACGACTTACACATGTTTGTTATCTTAGTTTGTAATTCATGTAATTGCAGCTAATTCCACAACAGTCTCGCTGACGTCGCTATCTTCAGCCCTTCCAACAACGATGACAGGTTCTCCCACAACTTCTTCAGCTACAAGTAAGTACAGAGGAACGCCGCCTTACGGCCACCTCGGTAATATGGTGTCCTCGTTATTACGGCCACTTTTTTTGGCCGCCCGGCAAAAGCGACCATACATTTTCTTGTAAAGAAACCCTCGTCAATACGGTCACCTCGTTATTCACGCAAATTTTTTTGGCCCATTGGTGACCGTATTTACGGGGTTCCACTGTATTCAGTTTAAGTGGCATGACCCGGTTTTTCAGTTACAACACCTATATTGTATTCTCTTGGATCTAAACTCCTTTTCTGATGATATAAATATTACTTTGAAATTTAATCAAGTCCACTTAAAAATCTTAACATTATTTGGTTAATAATGTTAGACTATCTGGAAACTGTGGGGGGTGGTTTGGCCCCGTAGTCCCGTTCATGGTCCTTCAATTTATTTTAAGATATAGTCTGGTTTTTTTATTATTATTATTAATCTATGTCTTCTTGCAGGTGAGACCAGTCAAGGATTGGCTTTACATATTGTACTACCTACAATACCTGTGGGGGCAGTCATTATGATAATAGCTGTATGCTTGTACTACAGATACGTCAGAAAACATAAACAGGGAATGAAACTGCCGAATACAGAAGAAATCAGTATTGTCTAAGGCCCGTTTCAAACGTCGTGCTACTGCCGTGCCGAACTAAATTGATCGAATTAAAGTCGACGTTAGCACGGCAGCAGCCCGACGTTTGAACCAAGTCGTGCTACTGCCGTGTAGCACGGCACGCTTTGCCGTGCTACACGGCAGTACTTTTAGACTGATAACGTATGTCAACTTAATTTACTCTTACTATTTTATTTTCGACTGGACATCTACTAGACCAAGGTGAATTTTGGAGTAAACATTTGTTTCGTAAGGAGTAAACTTCTCGACTTTAGACCTATGTCGACTAACTTTAAAATGAAGTAAGAGTTAAATATAAGACTGAGAAAGCTTCGGTCAGATCAAATTTAGCTGGGCTTGCACTTGTGATCTATTGAAAAAAGTCCTACTTGATCATGACTAAGTTTTTATTCACAGTAGTGATGGTAGTAGCCGGTGTTGCAGCCGGCCCACGCACTCACCTAAACCATTAATATAGTCCTACACAGAGGGTTTAGAGCGTCTGTGACGCAGGCAATGTTGGTAGCGGTAATTATGATGATAGTCAAAGTGATTATTACGTTAACATAGTGTTGCGAACTTCTAAGGGGAACGTCTGAGCCCAAGAAGACTTGTCGAAGATATATATACGATCAGAACAGGATTCTGGGTCTGAAGTCTTTAATCTTCAAGGCATTTTTCTACAACCTCAATTTAACTTCAACGGTCACAGGAGAAATTATGTTAATTTTTTATATTTATTTGTATTTATAGTCTCATCTATTTGTATATAATTATTTTTCTAGCTTTCTTTATTTAAAGTTTGGTAGTTGTTTGTAAATAATACGCTTTTCAACATCATCTGCAGTACTTAGTGTTGAACATATCGTTATTCTAAGTCTTGTAGGCGAGCAATGAAGCTGATGAACCAATGTAGGAAACCTAGGAATAGGAAACTTAGCTGTGCCATCCGCATTTTCTACTTTTTCTGCTGGATGGTTTGTACTTTTTACCGTTCTTGCTTATAGCGTTAACTTCTGAATGCTTCACTGAAAGCCTTCCGCATATTTTACATAAAAGTGTGACCTATGGGTTTGCTCTATTAACAATTAAATTAAATTATAATAATTTAATATCCGTAATAATCTTCACTATAGTCCCTGAAAAACAACCGATTAATCGCCAGAACTAAAGGTACGGTAAAACAGGCAACAAAAACAAGCAACTTTTCTTAACAGAATTGCGACCAAAACAAGTTACGCGTTTTACTACCCACGAATTAGCCTGCGTAGCAGGGGCTTGGAAGTAGTGGGCGAAAGAGAGAACGGGCGCGCGCGAGGGAGACGCGCGAAGGGTGAGGGAGCTCCCTCTCCCCTCGCGTGTCTCCTTCTCGCGCGCCCGTTTTTTCTTGTGCCCACTACTTCCAAGCGCCTGTTACGCAGGCTACCCAAGAATCAAACCTGTCTTGAAAGAAAGTAGGTTGTTGAACACTCTCCCGTTTGACGTGACTCCCGCATAGTTTTATCCAATCAGAAGTTAGTATCCATCCAACTCACAACAACCTGATTTTTCCAAGAAAGGTTTGAACGTGAGCGGTAAAACGCGTCACATAGTTTTTCAACCCGTTTTGCGGCAACGTTGCAAAACAAATTGGCCGTTTTGAAGCCTGTTTTACTGTAGCATTAGACAATTATTGTGGTCCATTAAGATGACTCAGCAACATCCTTGTTCCCCTCACTAGTATTCCTTATTTCTATTGTGTTGTTCTCCCACTCTTTGGGTTTGCCTCCCATATCATAAGATGATGTTATATACTTGTCTTAAAAAGCAGTCTTGTTGGTTTGATTCGCCCGCTATGGGGGCCGTTACCTCAAGGGTGTTCTCGATGTCTTTCGCGGTTTGACTGATTAATGCAATGAGCAAGTTATCTTAAGGGTATTTATTGGTCTCGTGGATAAGTGTGCGGCAATGCTTTGCTAGTTCTCTGCAGTATCATCATCATCGTGATCGTGCAGAATCATTACCACTACTGGTTTTGAATACTATTAGATGAAAATAGAGTCTAGACTGACTTTATAGGGGTTCGATTTGTCCTTAGCTTTGCCACCGAAACTGTTTCTGGAATCCTTTAAAGGTGGAGAGGCGACTTTTGTCAACTCTTATACTCTTTGTAAGGACTTTTCCATCCAAATCACGATATCACTAAACTTGGGTCGCTGGGATGGTTCTTTGTTCCAGCATTGAAGCATAAGCTCATAGCTGAAAAAAGATAGAAAGTTACAAAATGGTTGAGTCCACAAACAAAAGTTCGATACAATTAGAACAATACCTAGTTGAATTGAACTCAACAAAAAAAGCTGCAATCTTATATTTTACAACTGCATGATAACGATAGCTACGTCTGAGAGACCGCCGAGAGCAAAATTCAATAAATATCATATTGCTTTATGCATTATGGTCAATCTAGTATTTAGTTGTTGGGTAAGCAAACACGATCTGATACTGGACGTACTGGACGAAAAGAATGAACTTAACAAACTGACGAACTCACAGTTCAAGGCTTATAGCTGAAGGTCTTGGCATCCTGTGACCGCTTCGAACAAAAAAGCAAGCCTCTTTAGCTGTCATTCCGTCGTAGGGCTTTCCTCCTGAAAAAAAAAAAAGAAGCTTGTATGTATTTAAGGTAATTTCGAGATACATTTTAGGGCACAGCTTTACTCGTCTACAGAAAATGATCAGAACTAATTTGGAATACATCCAAGAAGCACAGCTGAAACTTGTTGTTAAATTTCTCAATTTTTCTCCTCGGCTTGATGTAAAACATTCACCCTACAGCGGAAAATGGTGCCACAATACAAGAATTTTATAATACTTGGTACCATAAACATCCTTATTACAGTGTTATTTTCATTTTCCATCGTCTTTTTGTAAGTTCATTATGCAAGAGCGCGTGGACAACAAGCTATAGTCCATGGATTAAGATGTAAGCTTGAGTATCAACTGAAGTTCCGTTCAGAGGATCCCGTTCTCGCTTTTCTCTCTCGTGGTCCTCCAGATACGTTTAATAGTCAGCCTATCGAGTTTTAGCTTTTAGAATCGTGTGCAAATTGTTATGCTTATTATGTTGGTGAAACCAGCCGACATTCCTCCACACGAGTGCCCAAGCACTTACTTTCCGATAGGTCTTCGAACGTTTTTAGACATCTACAGAGTTCAGAGTCTTATCGAACATCCTGTACACCGGATTGCTTCGAGATCATGGATTCTGCAGCTACTTAGTGCCAAGTAAAGTTTAAGGATCTATGTTTATAAAATGGGAAAAACCCGACCTCAACCAGCAGGTGAAACACATAACATGACTCTCTCCCTTTAAACTTTTCATTATGCAACAACGCAATGTAACGAACTTTGTAACATCGCTCGCGCGATTTAAATTCAACGGCGACGGATTTCAAATATGTAACACTGAAGATGACAGATGTACCATCGAAACATGTCTGGAAAATTAGCTAAAATTAAAGAAAGTTGTTATGTTTATGCGGCTATTATTATTTTGTTTTCATTTTGATGATATATCCACCGTTATCAGAAACAAGGAACGTAAAGCAAATTGTTTCTCTTTTTATATGTGAGAATTCGTAAGTTGATATTAGGATGTTAAGAACGCTTTGTTCCCTTTTTTGCGTTCCTCAAGGTCATTGGAGTCTGAAAGCCGCGATTTATGGATATTATACGATGTCGTTTTCAAGATTGTGATCGATCAATAAAAAAGCATATGGCGAGAGAAAGAGAGAGTTAGAAGCATTAAAACAGTTGTGTTACTGTCTGGAGGAACAGTTCCGATGTGTATGAGCGATAGCGTGCGAGCAAGCTCGCGCGGGTGGAGTGCTTACCCGCGGGCCATATGAGTGAACGGCTAATACTTACCGAGGGTAAATATTTCATACAGCACGACCCCGTAACTCCATCTAAATGGAGGAAAAGAAAATGACAGATAAGTCAGTCACACAATAACGTTGAGATGAGGGTTGAACAATTAACTGCGTTACAGAACCACTTCAATTCCACTTGCCCTATCTCAAGCTTAAAGCCAAATTGATTCATTCTAAGGGTGCTTTTGCACGGTTTTTAGGGATTTTAAGCAAAGAGGCTTTTAAGAGAAGCACGTTAACTGGAAGTGGACTTTTTGCATTCTTGGGCAGTGGTTTTGTCCAAATTTTCAGGTAAATCGTCTTTATAAGAGTAACGAAACTGAGCAGTACAAATTTGGTAGCGTCAAGGCATATTAGAAGGGAGAAGGCATCCTCGCCGCTCCGGTCGACCTGTGTCCTTTTTTTTAGGGGGTCGCACGTGAAAAATCCCGTCTAGACTGAAAAACTATATGGCGGTTTCGTGGACTTGCGCTCGAGCTTCACGAGTACGTAGATAAAATGGCCGTTTTCGAGCCTGGAAAACTTAAAGGCGTATGACAAACTTTCTAATCGTAGCTGAATTGCTGACAACTCACACATCACTTTCTGTGGTGGAAACTCGATTCGTTAACGACTCCACCGCCATCCATTTCAAAGGCATCACACCCTGTCAATAAAAGCACAAAACTATATAAAATTATTTTTGAGTATCTCCTACGACACTTTGCAAATTACCTGCCTTGATTCGTGGTAGAAAATTAGACTTTTCGATTAATCTTCTCATACCAGTTTACTCTGAAAAAGTATAAAATTTGAAGTTTTCCAGCACTTGAGATTGTTCGGTTAGCTGGTTTGTCAAGTAAAATCAGATATCGGAATCCAGATCAGAAAATGGCACAAATCAACAGATACTTAATTTATAAACTGCGCCAGTGTCTCCGCCAGTGATATGTTCCTTAATTTTATGCATTTGGTATTTAAATGCTCTTTTACTAAAAAAGAATGCATTTATTTTCTCGGAAATTGTAACGGTTATGATCAATTGGCAACAGGACTTCGTGTCGTCTAATTAGTTCTGTAATCATGAACAAATTGGACTCCCTCTTCGCGCTTGTCCGATTTTGTTAATCACCCGTATGATTACAGACCGAATTAGACTCCACTCAGTCCTATTACCACTATAAATAAATAAACAAATAAATAAATACAAAAGTAGGTTGTTATTACTGCGTGTAATGTCTCTTCGACCCGAACTTACGTTTGTTTTCCTGGCATAAATTCCATCTCCTAGTCCCAGGTCCCTCGCCATTCCAAAGTCAGTGATCTTACATTGCAGTTTATCTCCAAGTAACACGTTCCTAGCAGCTAAATCTCGGTGAATAAGCTGTGAGAAATTTAAAAGAAAGGAAAACCCTCTTCTTTTGTTTGATGTAAGACAAAATGGGATGTTTCCCCTTTCAGTTAACATCATGCTTCCTCAAAGCGATGATCTTGCTATTCGCTTTGAGTCCATTCGATATGAACTTAACACTTTGTGTGAAAGACCTGGTTGGCTTATATATTCTATGATCAACCCACTTTGCACTAAAGGGCCATTCTCTCGCCAACTAATTCGAAAGGGAAAAATGAAGCTTTCTTCATTTCTACACACCCTTTATAAACATCTTTGTGTCGCTGTTTTAGCTACCTGCTGTGGAACACTAAACAACAAACACTCCATTTGACGACAGGGTCTCAACAAATTGTCGCCGCCTGTTGATAAGTTTACAATCGGCCGAGGGTGGTACTCCCTCGATAGGTATGTGCTCCTCTGAAGGGTATAATGGTTTTTGGTCCTTTTTGGTCTGAAAATGGGTATACGGCACTTTGCCCATTTTGGTCTGGAACTGGGTATTGTTTTTCGAGGGAACTATGGGAGATTACGAACGTATTTATCGTTTCAAATCCAAGTGAATAAGAATGAAGTAGAAATAAGAAAATTCGAAATGCATTTGAAGATACGTTTTGTTTGCGCTCTAATCTAATAAAAAGATGACGTAATTTCTGCCTAAAGGCCAGGTCTGAGGACGGGTGTGGAAAATGACAGTTTTTGGTCTGAAACTTTAGAGTGTTAGGATTTGGAGAACCAGGCGGCAAACCCTCGCCAAGAATTCCCTGGAGTATTTCTTCCCCGGCCAATCGGCAACTTTGTTCTAACTCATATATTTGCATTGCAAAATGATTTATTTTTTTCTTCCCATAACTCACCTGGTGAGAAGCGATATATTCCATACCAAGAGCGATATCCGTGGCAAATTGGTAGAGTTGCTGTTTTGCTATCTTTTGTGGGACTTCCATTCTATTAAAATGGTCGTAATCATCATTTTGTCCTCTGCGTTTCCTTAGATATCCAAGAAGATCGCCATAAGGAGCATTCTCCAGGATTAAAAGAGGTGGCCCTTAAAAGACGGCAACATTGTTAGATGCCAAAAATTAACCTAAGCAAATTAGATCACTAGGATTTTTAACTGGCTGGATGGGGTTACTCAACAAATTTTCATACGGGGAGGCTCCGCCGAGAGGTCTAATTCCTTACCCTTTTGTGTAGGATTTTTCGCAATATAGGTGCCCCTTTCGTATAACCCTTCCACATACCTTGTTTAGAATTTTGCATCCCTTCTATTTATAGGAAAGAAAGACAACGATAGAACGTTTTCTCGACTTTATAAAGCCATACAATTCATCTAACAGCCGTTTGGCCCCTTCACAGAGCCAAATGACAGATTTCCCTGCCCCTTCGTATACTTCAACGAGTAAAATCCGTACCCTTTCATATACCTGAAGTCTGAAAAAAATACCCCTTTCGGGTGGAGCCTCCCCGTATAGGCCATTAAAGGGAGTACCCCCACGGGATGTTAGCCTGATAATACAGTATCAATAGCTTTGCACTTAGCCTCGCTTTGAAACAGAGGCTTTAGAGAACTCGACACTGTCCTATTGCAGCTTTGTTAGAGTAAGAGTTGTTAAACTTACGGAAAACTCCCTTTCCTTTGCATCTAACAACGTCTTTAGTCACACAGCCCAACAATCGTATGACGTTAGGATGAGGTTTAAGTTTCTTCAACAAATCCAGTTCAGACAGAAGGTCCTTTTGGTCCGAAGGCGAATAATTGGCTATAACGAAAAAAATGATCCTTAAAACACAACATCCTTCGTCAGAGAATCATAGCATATCTAAAAACTTTTCCCTTAGGAGACAGCTTCTTGGGAATAAGAGATGTGACGTGATATATAAAGTTCAAATGTATTCTTTATGTACATCAGTACTTGTAATTGGCAGAGTACTAATGCAGCTTTTATGGGCGTTTCGTGCTGTGATATGAGTTGATACGTTCGGCTTTCGATAGCCTGATGGAAACGGATTACATATAAAACATATTGGCCAGTTATTTATTTCAAGCTGATTCCTGTCCTATTGATCAAAAATGACCAAAACCAATCACACTTTGCTCTCCCTTTGATATCTTGGTATATCTTGATATCTTGCTATGAGAGTTCCAAGTATGACAATACTTGGAAAAGAAATCAAAGGTCGAATTTCTGCTCCACTTTTACCAAAAAAGGTGGAAGTAATCGTGACACGGCCACTATAAATGCGGTTCGTTTTTGTGCCTAAGAGTACAAGTCTTGACTTTGTGAATTTAATACTACAATGGAGGTCAAAAGTTTTAGGACCTTTCCTGTAATATTAGACTGAAACTGACGACGTTCTTCTCCCCCATCATCCCAAACGTACGATGTTCAATAGACCTCTTTTATTAGCTAGTATGTTTTGTTTTCCCAAAAGAGGTTGACTTGAACTTGACCCTTTGTCTTTTCATAAATTTGCATAGATATGCGCGTGAATCAGACAAAAATAGAAAGAAACAGTTCTCTAGACTATTATCACATAACCTGTATTTGTTAAACAAAACATGCAAGCTAACGAGGCCTACATTAAGCAAATTAAATGGGTGGGGATGAATCCTTTTTTGGGCAAAGCACACCATGGGGAGTGGGGGAGAGGGGAATGAAGGGATGAACCCGAAGCTGATCACAAACGATTATTATTAGGAGAAGGGTCTGCCCTGTGTTGCAGTTACTTATGATACTTGGAACGGGCTTTCAGCTTCCCAAGTTCTTTTAACCTCCACTGTAGCAATAATCTTACCTTGCAGCATCTTTACAGCTACAACTATCCACTTTCCTGTACTAGTCATGTCATACAACTTTCCTCTCCACACCTGACCAAACTCCCCTCCACCGATTTTCTCTTCTAAAGACAGGTGATCTTGTGGGATTTCCCAGCTAGTGTTACAATAAATATGCGAGTATGGCGACGCACCGAGAACCATGGGATGATGGGTGGAGCCATGGATCAGTGCATTCTCAGTGTCCTGAAGTGGGTAATTCTCATAATTCCTCGCTCCATGAAGAGTCCTTGTTTGAAGATCAGTGAGAAAGAGTTGGTTAGGATCTCGAGGGCTAGCGCAATGCTGGCCCATTTCTAGCCCATCTGAAACACGCAAGCGCTCGGGAGGGATATAAAAAGTGGAGTTTTGGAATTGAAATGTTTTGTTTTGCTTCTTTAACGTTTTTTTTAACCACGGTCCAGTCCGAGGCTTCATCTTTTTCCTCCCTCTTGTCACACTGTCGCTATCATCCGGCACAAGGTAACCTTCGGAATCAAACATTTGCTGAGACGTTTCCGTGCCAACTTGCTGACTTATATTGTCTTTCCGATCCCTGGTTATCTCTTCTTGCACTTCAAATATAGCATGATTGTTCATTGCAGAGATAACATGATCTCGGTTGTTCACTTTAAGATCATGTGAATTGGGCTGATCGTAGCATGCAAAGGTAGGAGCCGCATTGCTTGGTCCAGGATTGACTGACTTTAAAAAAAGGGATTCCTCAGCAATGCCTGGTTGGCTACTACTGCGCTCGTCCATGTTTGTCGTTGTTGTTAGTGTTGGTGTCGAACCGTAGATAAACCACGATGAGCCTGACATAATTACTGAGTACCTTCTATCCTCTGACTCCAAAGCCTACATATCAATGAACCCAAATGTGGTTAATTTTACTCAAGTGGAAAGCGGCTCGTTCTTGTTAAAATTTCTGCGTATTTTTAATAATTTGACTTAAAGGAAGCCCATTTTATTTAGCGCGAGAAGCCGTACTCATTCCGTCAGTGGTACCAAATACTTATCATAAATTAAAATTTTAAAAATGTGAATGCTTTATAGTATCCTAGTGAAAAACAACTGAGAAGGGAATTATTGTATAAATCTCCAGCTTAACACCAACAAACACTTCAAGCAACTCATTTCTCTTTGCTACTTCCCTTCGTCTATTTAAGTCCCTTTAAATCTAGAAAACTTGAATGGTATTTGCATGGGTGCTGCGTTAATCATATCCCCCAGTTATATTGCAGGATGCGTTACAAATAAATAAAAAAAAAGTTAAAATGAAAGTAGCGAGCCTACTTTCAAAATGACATGCAGTCATGCCTATTGTGGATAAAAGGAAAAATTAAAACGTACGTTAGATACACTGTAGACCATATCCGAGTTGCACCAAGCCTCTTTCAGCAAGGCTAAAAGCGCAGTTTTGATATGGCAGTGATACTTTTTCTCATGCAAATAAAACTCATTTTGAGGTTTTTCACCTAGCCTCGCTTTGAAATGAGATTTTTCTGGAAACTCGGAAGTTGCCTATTACAACTTCGATACACAAAGAAAAAGGAGCACCGGTAGAGATTGGTGTACATGTAAAGAAAAGGGCAAAAAGTTTAACTTCTTATAAAGTTAATGCCGGTTTCATCACTATCAAAGGAAAACAAGAAACCACCTTACCAGCTCAGATGTGAGATTCAAATGCGAAGGAGAAGAAAATCCTTTCCTCCTGAAAATATAAACCAATAAATGCGCCAGCCTTTGTATGTAGGATGCATTATCCTTGAATGAATGCTTTTGAGTAATGAAAATATAATAAGGATCATCGTTGCAGTGAAATAAAAGAGCGAATAACTGGCTACACTTCACAGATTATTGACAGTGGAAAAAACCACAGTAAATTAATAGACCTTGTCAAGGTTTTGGAAGCCATCTTGACGAGTAGGCATTACCGCGTGTTTGTATGAGAATCTAATATCTAATCATTTCCGTAAAAACCCTGTTCTGGAAAAAAAGTAAAATAATCTCTCACGCGGTTTTACTCGTCAAAAGAGCTTCCAAAACCAAGACAAGGTCTATTACAGTGTAGATGACCCTTGGCAAATAATTATAGGCGCCATTCACAGTGACGAATTTGCTGATGGACTCCTCAAGTTAAAAGGAAGGTAACGAATCGTGTATGCATTACAAAAAAATTTAATTTAAATACATACCCTTGCTGGGGCCCTGTCAAAATCGAAAATAAATTAAAACAGTCAATTTATGTTGCAGAAATCTTAATCCAAATTCTTATGCGGGACTTATGAAAGATTCTAATCCCGGGTAGATTAGAAGCTCGGGTGAATTAAGGAATGGCCTGGGTCAAGGGAAACAGTTAATGTAGGAAGGAGGACTGGTACAGAGAGGACTAAACTTTCTCACTTAAAACTTTTTTGTAGGTGTAACTCTTTTCATAAAAGCAAATCAGTTTCATTAAGAATGATAAACTCGCTTGTCACGTCCATTTTTTCCTATTTATTTTGATCCAAATTAACAACACTTTTCGACACGGTCCCTAACAGAAGTTAGAGGATTGGCAAGTGACAGAAACTGTTTCCGCTATGTAACGTCCTGCTATAGGGATAACCAGGTAAAGTAGTAGCAGGTTGATACCACCATCACCCGATTTGGTTGGTCACCCTTCTAGCCAAGCCAACCTTTTCGTAAGCAAACAATACGCGTGTAAATTTGGCTCGCCCAGGGTTACTCGAGTAGATGGGTGACCCTTGGGAATAACAAATTCTATATAGTGCACCATTTACGCAAGGATACACTCGCCCTCGATCGTGCATCCATCACCAGTTTTTACAAACATCAACTGTACATTCATGAAAATGATCAATATCGTTCATAACGACCACCTGAAAGGTTTTACTGCCCTATAACTGCGTCTAATTGAAAAATTCCTGCGCTTGAAAAAGAAAAAGCGTACAGAAAATTACTCCGGTTAACTCACTTGGATTTTTCCAGGGAGCGCTGTTTCGCCTAAAATAGCAAACCAACCAAACAGCACATGCTACAACTACAGGAAACGCGGAGACGGCAATTAACGCCTCCAGAGGGATGGAAATATTTTTCTCCTCATTTTTCGTGTTGCTCATTAAGATTGGCATTGTTGATGTTCCAGTCCACTGTGGCTTCGTTGTAGCTGACAACAGATAAATAAAATAGGCCATCAGACATGATTTGATGAACTGCGTATAAATAGCAAAGTTTTGCCTTTTTCTTTCGGTCTTTGGAAGTGGCTCAGAAACCGGAGCTAAATAATCAGAATAATCAAAATAAAGCCAGGCTATAGTGCATTTCTGTGCCTAGTACCGTAGTTCAGGACTTTCCTTTGTTTCACTACATTTTCTCTGTCATTGTAGAGAGAAAACGCAGTTCCTTTGATTTGGTTTCATTCATGTACTTAAAAAATTAATTTGACCAACTATTAGAGGGATCACCCATTTTTTAACCTGAGATCAGGAGTTATTTATCTTTCCTTTGTCTTTGTTTTGTTTTGTTTTGTTTCTGTTGTTGTTGTTGTTGTTGTTTTTTTTGGCTTCTTTGCTTCTTTGGCTCGAGAGGGAAAAAAATAACGCCTGATACATTGATTTGTAACAAGCCATCAATCGCTCCCTAATTTGCATAATCCAACGTCTGCTTTACCTGTCATGTTATTAGCCAATCAGCGTTTACCAGACGGGAATCAAATTTTGGCGGGAATATCTCTTTCGAAATCCATTTTAGGGAAAAGAATATTTTAAGTACGTTCAGATGGCGCTTCCTTAAACAATTTTTAAATGTTTTTTTGTGTGTGTGTGATGAAATACTGCTAGCTGGAGCTGTTACTAGTAAAAGCTCGTTGACTTCGTCCTGTGCCGAAAGCAGTGAAAAAAAATAGGCTGAAGCACATATTTCACGAACTGAAACTTGTTGTGAAAGCGAAGATCGCTCAGAATAATTCTCAGGTTTCTGAAGGAGGAATTGCAGTCTAAACAGGTCAAGATTCCATTCATAAATTGATTATTTGAAAGTGAACCCGTTTGTCGCTTCTGTAACTTGTAGCCGGTATCAATTGCATTCAAATGATCGGTGAATTTTTTACTGCAATTTTTAGTATACGATGAAATGGAAAATATTTCAATGGATGGAATTTCCATTTAGACATTCTTCAAATTCAAGAAAACTGAGCCGGCAGAAATTTCATAACGAACTCACGTGTGTATTCACTGCTCATTACCCAAGCAAAAATGCAGACTGAAATCAACAACAACTAACGGCTGGCGGCGTTTTGGCCAATCGGAACAGCGCAAATCATCCGTATTGTTTTCTATCCAATCACAAAAAAGTCCAGATTCTGGCTTTTTTGCATGTGATTTGTAAAAGAAATGTATAATGCCCTCCTCCCGAAAACAGATTACAGAGATAAAGGGAGAGGTACCGTGGCTCATATAGGACATCCATTTATTTTTTTCACACTTTACATTTGCAACTCGAATTTTAACCGCAGAAATTCGAGTTGTGTGCATTTCAAAATTTGCAACTCGAATTTGAACCGCAAAAATCCGAGTTGTGTGCGTTTCAAAATTTGCAACTCGAATTTTAACCGCAGAAATTCGAGTTGTGTGCATTTCAAAATTTGCAACTCGAATTTTAACCGCAAAAATCCGAGTTGTGTGCGTTTCAAAATTTGCAACTCGAATTTTAACCGCAGAAATTCGAGTTGTGTGCATTTCAAAATTTGCAACTCGAATTTTAACCGCAGAAATTCGAGTTGTGTGCGTTTCAAAATTTGCAACTCGAATTTTAACCGCAGAAATTCGAGTTGTGTGCGTTTCAAAATTTGCAACTCGAATTTTAACCGCAAAATCCGAGTTGTGTGCATTTCAAAATTTGCAACTCGAATTTTTACCGCAAAAATCCGATTCAGGTCAGATTTTCACTGCAAAGGATCGAGTCAAAATTCAAAATCCGAGTTGTGCATTTCAAAATTTACAACTCGGACTTTTTCGTGTAGACACGTGGTTACCTAGCTTCTGAACGGTCAGGTTATCCTCTTCCACTGCATGGGTAAGCTATTTCATTACGCTTTATTTGAGAGTTTTGCATATAATAATGCGTATTACAGTACATGCATGTGATAGAGTAATAATTCATTACCTGATTTCTACGTTTTGCGTTGAAAGGGCTAATGAATCATGACGTTTGTGTCAGCGAACCTGCTGTTGATCCTGCTTCTACTGATAGAGTCTGTATCTTTATCTGGAAGTGTCCTTCCGAGGTATATAGCACCCATACAGGATCATACGCAATCTTGTATCCTTGTTAACTGTTCTAATTTTGCGTAAATCTGATTTTTGTTTTTCAGCCGCTCTGCCCTTTCCCCTCTACTCCACCGGAACTGCCGAACTAGGATGTTGTTATCAAAAATATATTTCTTACCTTCTTGTTATGCGCTATATTATGCTTCAAGAGAAGTGCTCAGTATTATTCGTTATGATGATGATGACCGTTATTTTTTATTTGTTATTATTTAACTTTATTTTTATCATCATTTAATATCATTTTTCTTATTATTTTTGAGCCACGTTTCATATGCTGACTTGAGTTTCTTGTCAAGTCTCTACAGCATTAGTCTGTGTGCAAGCTCGCATGGCCTTAGTTTTTGTAAAATGACTTCATGAGAAAAAGCACTTTGAAGAGGTCAAATACCAATCCAAAAAGATTATGACGATCACGATAATGATGACGACGGCTATTATTATTATTATTATTATTATTATTATTATTAAACTTGTCATTAGAGATACAAGTTAAATTTTCCTTGATAAAGCTTAACTTGAAAGGTGAAGAACTCCTCAAACACTACTTCGATTTAGGCTTAAGTTATTCCGAAATATGGGCTTTCCTAGCCTTTGCTCATGGGATTTATTTCAGGTAACCGTATGCAGAACTCCAGCTTTGCACTAGAGACAGTTGTTACTGAGTACATGGACAGGATTTCCTAGTAATATTAAACTCTACAATATAATTCCTTTCCTCCTTTTAGTATGCGTCACATAAGGCGAAGGCTTAACAGCATGGGCCTATATAGAAGGAAACATAAAAGTTCTGCAAGAGAAGTTATTGCAGCCATTTCGGTAAGCCACCCGCCTTAGCCTACATATTTACAAGTCCGGGAGTAGCTTTGGGTATCGTGCTTTGAATGGTTACGTGATCTGATTTAAGCTACAGTTAATGGCACAGTTCTTTAATTCGTAAACTGTGCGTTCTGTTTGTAGGTATTACAACAAAGTCACTGTAAAATTATGTTTGCCACAAATTTTCTGTGTGGTGACAAGACTAACAAAAAAAGAATGATCGCACTAATTTGTTTCTTCCATCATTATCATCAGAGTGAGTTAACAGGGTCTGCGAACTGCATTGGGTACCGGCTGATGCATCAGAGGCTAAGAAATGATCATCACCTTGTTGTAGACAGGTGAGGGTAAATAGCTCCAGCTAGCTCCTATCAAGATAGTGATGATTTTATGATGAGAGTGGCGTGCCTTTTGCGGGTCTTTTAGTTTCAGTCTTATCTTTGTGTTTCATTTATTTTGTTACTTAAAATCTTTTTTTCCTGTCGATAGAGAAACTGTTCGATTGGCTCTGAAAGTGATGGACCCAGATGGCGTTGCAGAAAGGAAAAAACACCGGTTGAAACGACGGAAGTACTTCTCCCCGGTAACTTCAACCTTCTATTTACTAGTTAACGGTCCAAATTCTTATACGTGCTGTCAAAGACGGACAGGCGTATGAAGGTATTTACTTTTTATTTCAGGGACCAAATTTCCTTTGGCACATAGATGGCTATGATAAATTAAAAGCATACGGCTTTGCAATTCATGGATGCATTGATGGGTAGGAACCTCATAGATGAAGTGCACTCGTCCCATAATCAGTATGCATGGACATTGCTCAGTTTACTTTGAATTTGAGTTATCCCAAGTCTTTATGTGCCTTGTTTCGTTCATACCCACCAATACCCCACCGTTAACCTTTTTTATAGGTATTCTAGACGGATTATGTGGTTGGAAGTCAGGAGCACTGACAACGATGCTGCTGTAATTGCTGATCACTTTCTGGGTTGCGTCTGCCAGATGAAAGGTAGAATTTGGCCGGTTTGAAGTCCGTTTCTCTAACCTTCCAAAGCCCTACACGTGTAAATAAAGACTCTTGTCGTTATTCTTTTAATTTTAGGGACCGCAAGGATTGTTCGTGCCGATCCTGGAACCGAGAATGTAAAAGTGGAAGTCTTACAAAAATTTTTTAGGGCCAACGGACGCGACAGCTTTTCTGGGGACAAAAGTTTTATGTACGGAAAATCCACAGCAAATCAGGTAAAAATAATGCCAACCAATTTTAGTTACTGTGCCTGGTTACACATTTGCAGCTGGCTGCTTGCGTGGCAGGAGCTAAAAAGACTTAGAGATTCTTCATCGCGCAGCTTCAGCTAGTGTTCTCCTACCTTGTGTACAAGAAGTTTTGTCTGCCGTGCGGCTGGATGCTTCCAACCGCACAGTTTTCTTTTTTCGCGCGGTATCACTCTTTTTTTTTCAGGAATGTTGTTTTCCCGGCCCAGGCTGAGTATTCTTATTTTCTGCCCATTTTACGCTGACAATTCTCTTGTACTACCTTAAATGATAGGTTATGGCATTTCTGTTTTATAATGTATTGGGGTATCAATTATAGTGCAGGTTTTTTTCGTTTTGTTGGTTAGTTTTGTAGTCTGCTACACAGCCGTTTTTAGTGTCGTCACGCAACGCTCCTCCCCACAAACCTGAACACATTTTCAACAAACAAAATAGTATATCCTTTCTAAAATCCCAGCCTTGGGTTTTATTCTTGAAACAGTCCTAAAATTTTGCAAATTTCACCCTCCATGTTCTTATTAAATTTATTCTTGTAAAAACGAGTGTTACTATAAAGACTCGTTCGAAACTCGAAGCCACACATGAAATGTGTGGTGGTACCCAGGATAATGTTATCCTTTCTTCGCATAATTTTTAACGATGATTTTTTATGTACGCGATCGATCCGTGGATAGCTTTCTTTTTCTAAAACCGTAATTATCTTCTTGTTTATCCAGCGCATAGAAGCGTGGTGGGCATACTTGCGGCATTCTGACATGGATTGGTGGATTAACTTTTTCAAGGTATTTTTTAAATTGTCTGGGCGTAGTCATAGTTGTTCGATGTGGGCAGTAGCAAAACATAAAACGTGTCCAAATCGTAATTCCTTTCGTTCATGCTGCAGTGGCAATCTCAGGTCGTTACGTTCTCTATTTCTTAATTTGTTTTCTTTTGTTTTTCATTTTATTACCACGCTTTAGTCTTGACATAAGAATAATGTGCGAATTTATCGTTTGCTTTCGCAGGACTTACGTGACAGCGGTGATTTCAAGGATTACAATCAAGTGCACATGTATGTTTAAAAACAAGAATCGCCAAAAGGCGATTTTAACTGGACTGCCAAGGGGCGATTTTTCTGAGGGGAGGGGGCGGCGGTACGCACTTATTGTACCCTTTTGGATGACTTTCGTGACAAGGAAAATGAGTACCATTTTTTAAATCGGGGCTGTATAGTAACTTCTTAATTCCACCATTATGAATAAAAACAAGCAAGTTGGCCATTCTGAGCGTGAAACGATTAGCATTATTTTCACGCACCCCTCTCTTAATCCCTCTGCCCCTTAAGATATAGCGTGACAGTATAACGTCACTATTTTGACCTAACTGGAAATTCCAAAAAAATTTGTCGTTCTACGGGTCATAAAACGCGAAAAGGCACAGGCAGCCCAGTTAACAAGGGTCGGTGACAGCAAGAACCTAAATTCTCCCCAAATGAGTAATGGTTTTTGGTCAAATCAATTCATATTGAAGAGTTACACTGCAGCTAACGTTATTCACATTTGTTTTTTTCAGCGAGTGCCTAAGATTCTGCTTCATGAGAGTGATTCAGGCTGAACTCGATCGAGTAGCCCAGCACTGGAATTTGCATCGTATCCGTTCGCAGCATAATGTGGAAAGTCCCCCTGGTCGACCAGATACGCTCTTCTTTCTCCCGGAACTAGAGGGTAATTGTATAAGCCATCGTTTCACATGAAAAAATAATATTCGACAGAAAATTAAAGTTAAAGCCCCAAAGAAGATTAATCTTGGCGTAGATGAGGATTTGTATGTCCCCTAAAGGAGACCTTACTCCAACCTTGGGTCAAACACACCTGATGCCCGCATTTACTTATAAATTTTAGTTGTTTAGTAGCTGTTAGTTTTCATCTAGAAGATGTTGTAGATATTTCGTTACCCACAACCTTAAAGGACCTTTACGGATAAACATACTGGTCTTCCGCACTAAACGTCCTAAGTAAGATCTACCATTTCTAACCGTTACCGCGACAACGAGCTTCGCCGTTATTTTCATATGGTAAGCCCCACCCCCCGGAAATTATATTCATGTTTTCTCTATATTTTCCGACCCCCGTTCAACGAACTCGTATAAAGAGAAGTGATTACGTCAAATAACTGTTGTACTGAGGTCATGAACTTTGAGACCGTACCAAATCGAATAACCGGAACTCTTTTTCACACGCAGGTACATCGTCCTATCTGCATCCAGTTTCTGAGAGTGATTTGAAAGCTGGTGAAACATGCTGCTCTTCAAGGAGGAAAGATCTGGTATGATTACCCGAGTTTGCTGACGTCGCACTGGAGTTGATGGCGGCGCACAAGCTAGTCCACGGTCAGACACCAGCTCAAGCAAAAGAATTATTCCTCGTGCTTACCAGACTGCTGGAAAATCTGCTTTAGATTAGATTCACATCATACGTTATGAGATGTGAGGGTTCTTTATAAGGCTTCGTCTAAAAACCCATCCAGAGTCAATGAAGTAAATATAGAGATTTGAAGAATAAAACGTCTGTGAGTTTATTATTCAGTATTGCACTTGATCTTTACTTTATTGAAACTATGTCAAACCTCACATCAGGTGTAAAAAACATCTGATAAGGGTTTCCTTCATCAAAGCTCTGTCAGAACCAAAACTAACAGACTAACCTGTTTCTTAGGTTAGCAACGATACACACACAGCAGCAACGATCCAAGGTGACGTGACAACAACGTTGAGTCCCTTAGTTTACTAACAACAACATAACGTACTTGGAAAACGTCAACAAATTTCTTAATCACTTGATAGGCAATACCACGCTCAACGCATGGATCTTCTCTTCTAGCTAAGTACATACAGTACAAATGATCAACATCAATTTGCATTTCTAAGTTCAGTTAATGGAACTAAAAGTTTAAAGCTCAGCGAATTGTTAGGATCGTTCGTTCAGTATCCTGTGCACATGAGAACTACTACATCAAATGATACCAACTTTCAGGATTGGTATATTGTGGATTAAGCTATAGGCACTACGGAAATAACATCAACAAAGCGTGATCAAGCGACGGTTGCCAACGGCAAACAAACAAACAAACACGGATAACAAGATGGATACTTTAAGGGTGGTACAGAAAACCATCTACTACCTTTAAATGGCATTGTACGCAAAACACTCTTCTTTTGAGATAACTGTATCAAATTCTTTGCAAAATGCGGCAAAGGATTCGTACTCAGTAGACAGGTCTACTCGGCAAGAACATGTGTGGGCAATGGGACGCCTCTGGATTCCTGAAAGGGTTGTGAATGCCACTTCAATACGTGGAACGAGCACCAGACTACTACCTGTTACAAACTGAAGGAAGACAGGCACCTTATCCCTGGAGAGACCACGAACATATCGCCGAAGGAATTCGAAAACTCTCTCACGGCGAGCGGTTAGGGGCACGTAATCTCCGTTGGGCTGAAGTAATTCCATCACTTTGTCTGGAGATGGATAAAGCTTTGCATACAACGCCCTGATGGAAGCTGCGTTCAAATCATTCCACAGCACCTGATGCGACATAAGCATCCCTTTTTTAAAGGCTGCCATTAAAACACTGGGCCTTGTTACAAATTCGCATTTAGCAATGCGAAGAAACAAAGAACGGAAACCCGACGGGTTAGAGGGAATCTCTCGAACGTTAAAACGGGAGAGAACGTCGACGATAATGTCGTCTACACCAACTTTTATGCACATGGCTTTTTCAACAGTTGCTCTTTCCCCCTCCGTTAGAAAGGAAAGGAAGCTGTAAATGAGATCAACATCACTCAAGGACTGATAATCAAATATGCCAATAACTGACGCGGGCGCTATACCAACTGGAAAGTAGCCAGTGAGTACAAATCCATGGCTTGCAATGCGGCCCAAAATCTCGAACAACTCTTCAGTGCAGTCCGGATCAACGCGAGGCACGTGGAATGTGGTACCCTCAAAGAATTGAGGGAGGATGGTTTTCCAACCCTGGGAAAACCGCTCTCGTGTTAAACCGTCCGCATCTTCAGCTGGCTCGTTAAGAAATTTCACATCTAGTGTTGTGAAACAGGTGTCCTGCTGTCTATACAACTTGATCAGGTCGTCACCGATGAGATCTCGGTTTACAGTTGCTTGTGTGCAGTTGTGTAGCCCATCCCACTCCTTTTCCCTTGCCTCGTACAATCTACTGGGCTCTGGAAGAGTAAACATTAAGGGGATCAAGTTAAAAGAAAGAGAGTCCGCTTTTTGAACCCTCCTGCAGAAAAGGATATTTATGCAAAAATCGGTACAAAGTAAAAATGAAGCAATTTATATGATTCTTCCAAAGAATCATGTAACATATGAGAGAGCACAGTTACAATAATGAAAGTAAATAATTACGCAAAGACAAGGTTTGTGGTTCGAATAATTCGGCATGTTCGATAAAAAAATCTAGCTTTTACTGTAATAACTTCCAGAATATGATCCACTACGTATGTCCACTCCAAAAAGGCAGCCTATATATTAGATTTGTAAACATTAAAAAAGAGTAAGCTTTTAACCACACCAAGAAAAATCTCTTGACCACACTGACACTTTGTTTCTATTTACACCTGTAAATGGAAGGATTTATACCTTGGCCATTGTCCATGTACTCTTCAAATAAGAGTGGCTGGGCTTCATTAGAAATGTTATCATCAATGGCTTCTCTGCTTTCCTATCAATAAGTAAAAACAGTAACGTTGATGTTGGCAAGGCAACCACAACAACAATCAACAATAACAAAGTACATTTACAATCGAAACAAGGTTTCCAAAGTATAAAGTTTAAAAAATTTTAATTTTGCCATATTTGCTTCCTAAGTAATGCATTAAAATACTTTGTGCAAACTTTATTTTCAAAAAAGTACTACTTAACTTACAAGAAAAACCAGGTGAAGAAACATTTATCAAAAATCACTAGAAAATTGGAGGTGTTAAAATAAATTCGCAAAAGACAGTACTGGCCGCTAGAAAGAGGTCATTACTACTGTGGCACAAAGCATTGTTAACAGCGTTCTAAACTGAGTTTAGTAACTAGTCAAAAAGAGCAAGTAGGCCAGACCAACTGTGATATCTGGTTAATAACGATAATGACTATAACAATAATAGCAATAATAAATAATAGCAATGATGATGAATATAACAATCCTCCGACAGCTTCTACGGCTAAGAGTACTAAGGCTGCAGGATGTCAAGTACCAGGAACTGGTTACCAGTTTAACACTAACAGTATGAATAATTTTATAAAGAATAATAAAAATGAATACCTGTGTCTTGCTTGGTTCCTCCTGCGTGGAACACATAATGGTGCATGTAAAGCGTGTTTCACAAATTGGACATGACATACCCTCCTCATCTACCTATATTACAATGGAGAAGATTAATTTTAACTACTCAACGAAAAACATTCCACTGCCTTCAAATACCGAATACATGAGAAGATTCTATAAGAAAACTGAATACTTCTTATGGCGCATGGGATAAAAAGTGTACATTGCATTAACCAGTGGTATGATATGTCCCACGCACCACACCTAGTATTCATTGTCCTGTTTTCCCTATATCTTTTATTGTAACCGTTAGTTTTGGCAGTTGCCTAATTGTTTGCTTTGCAAGAGGCATGGTCTGAGTAGCAATAAATGTTCTAAATTTAATCCAGTTCCATCAGTCCACTTGTATTCTGCTCTAGTTCTACTATTGAGCACTGTCTTATAGTCGATGAGGACATCACTATGACATTCTTTATAAGCAAGTCTGAAGGAACCTCGACGCTCCTGATCACTGCCAGCAACTGTTCTTTCAGTAACTAAATCTAGCTTCAAACATCTTTCCAATAGGATGCTTCGAACAATCTCTTCATGATCACTACTAAAAATATAGCAAACAATAAAACCTACCTTCAACCACTCATCAATGCAGATGAAGTGATACATATGCAAGCAGTTGTTCGGTCGGGCAATCAGGTCATCTGCAAGTAATACTTCTTTGCATATGGCACACTGTACAATACAAAACGCAGAAAATGATGATGATGTTTTAGGATTACAGCTGTAATACATGGGAACAAAGCAAAATGGAAAGCCATCTATTCCTTGTCTAACAGGATGAGAGAATAAAAATTAAAAACTAATTTTATTGTTCTCACCTGACATTTCAGTTCTGAAGACATAAGGTCCTTGTTTCCAGTTATAACATCTGGAGGTATTTGCTGTGAAGAGGAGGTGCATAGCAATAGTAGGTTACTCCAACAAGAATTGATACCGTGCCGGCGTAAAATAACAAAAGGAAGGTTAGAGCAAACCAGGATTATAGGTATAAGCAGGATAACACACATATAAAATTCAAGGACTTTTCAAGGACTTTCAATGACCGCATTGAAAATTCAAGGACCTTAATCTGTATTTACTACTTTTAAAACACATTCCAAATAAAACACAAGTACATTCCAATGATAATGGGCTTTAGTTCTTAAGGGCAACTATTTTTTTATGAAAATTCGTTTGTGAGTCCAAACCGGACTTTCAACTCAATACCGAGTTTATTCTGACGTTGCCTTCCAACTGGTATTTGCCAAAGTTTTTTTAGAGGATTGAAACTGGTCCTAAATTAAAATTCAAGGACTTCCCACGAATGAAGGAGAACTTCAAGGACTTTCAAGGCCTTAAAAGGACTCTAAAATCCAATGGTTTTCAAGACGTGTATATGAAACCCTGTATAAGACAACTGAATTTTTGTTAAAGTAAAACATAAATAGGTCTTAAAAAACCAGACTCTTAGCTTAGCACAGCACTTCCTTTTAAATTACTCAGATATACTCACTAGGACTTCCACAACAATGTGACATCCAATCTGACAAAGTGGCTGATTCAGATCCTTTAAAATGGATCCCTTGTCTAAGACCACTGAAAAATGCAGTGGAACTGATGGGAAGCTTCCAATCCAAGTGTACAAATCCTGTGTCAAGGAGAATCAAACTATTGTTAGATAAAAAAATCATCCTGCATGCAAAAAAGAGGGGGGGGGGGCTTATAACCTTTTTTTTCTTGAAAAAGGGGGGTTATTGAGAGAGGGAGCTTAATAAAGGATGTAAGGGAAATACAGCCATTCCATCTTGAGATATCTATTAACTCTTTCCCCAACCCTCAACCACCCCCAACAGCTAGCCACACCACTGACTGAAAATGAGGTTGCCATTTCATATTGGGGAAATATAACATTGCATCTGACATTGCTTGCATATTCGAAGTGTGGTCAACACTAGCTTTGTCATGAAGAATTAGCCAGGGGATTTATATCAATCACAAATGGGAAAGGTAAACAATGGTGGTGGTGGTGGTGGTGATGATGATGATGATAAAAGAGGAAAAAATTCTTCCGAAATGCAGATTATTTGGCTGGCAGTTCTCAGAAACCAGACTGACATCATTTTGCTTGTTTACTTTTAATCTAAATTATACTTGCATTTTAACATTATCTCCATATACTGTCAGATTGATGGCATTTTATGACATCACCTTAACAACAGCAGTTAAGTTGAATGTCCTTGTTGTAGTACTTCTCATGAATTTTGAGGGGAACACCACTGTCACAATATGAGGTTCGGTTAGCTGGGGTTCCTCAAAGTTGGAAACATTTTTGGAACACCACTGTGAGACAAAGAAAAGTATAAAATTAACAATATTATCATTTAATTAATTAATTTACTTCAGTAATAATTATTACAAATAAAAATGAATAAATATCAAAAGTACTAATAAAAATTACTAAAATCTCAAACCATCAGGGACACAAGTAAAGAAATCTTAGCAAAGAAAATAATATTCAAGGTATATTTGTCAATTTCTTTTTGTTTCTTTCACATTTTGGAAAAATGAATTTACCTAAAATGAATATTTTTAATCACAAAGTTAAACTGTTTCAATTTCAGACTGAAAATAAACCTTTATTAAGACTAGGGTAAACTGGGGTACTTACCGCAACCCTGGTCTTAATGAGACTTTCCTCTGCTTCCTACGGAAAGATAGGCTCTACTCAGTTACTTCAACAAAGCATTGCGATGAGAGGGAATGGCACAACTACTAGTACAGTCATTTCGCAGAGTTTAGTTTCTGTTAAATTCTTTCTTGTTACCAGTGTTTCCCTCATGACCTATTCATATGGTGCAAATAATAAGGGCTTGGATTAACCGAATGCTAAGTGCCATTTTGGGTGGTTTTTTTTTCTTCTTCCAAATCAGCTGAATTTTTGCATGTGGCCTCTGATTATTAATGAATCCACTCTGTGAATGTGTGAACATGTAATGTAGGAATCCACAAAAACTGCTTTTTTAAAAAAATATTATCCTACTGAAAATGTTATCACTGATTTTTGAATCATCTGAAAACTTGCTTACCAACAGATCAGATAGTCCAGTGTGTTCATCATTGTCATCCTCCTGAAACAATGTAAACAGCAAGTAAATCATGATCACATAGACTTGTATGACATGTCACATTGCCGATGCCATCTTCAGTTAGAAGGGACACATAAGTAGGATTAGAAAACTAATAATGACAGTGGACAGAACTTTATGTACATAATTTCATCCTAGTGCTGGCACTATAATTATGGAGTGGGAGCTGGGGTCTGCACTATTTTAGTTGTTCTAGCCATATTCCTGGTTTTAGCCATCCCTCCTTCTTGAACACTGCATGTGGTAAACCTCCCACAATCCATTTTTGCCTTTCTGGAGAGCTTTTGTCAGGCATTACCACTCCTATGAAGCAAAAGGAAACCTAATTTTAAAGATTATGACTGACACATGTACCTCCATAAAATTAACAGGCAACTCTTCTGATATATGCAACTCCTTTTGTTGAGAAAGTGCATCCTGAAATCAACAATACAAAGGAAAAACAATCAGTCACCATATGTTTTCCTCCTTGTTGCTAAGAGTAGATGAGGCTGGGCTCTTAAAGTGTAAAGGTGGAAATTAACCATTACAGTATTTCAACAACATTACAGTACCGAACTGGTAGGCAAACTGTCAGACACACTAGTAATTTTCTTCTGCACAGCTCCTTGAAAAGAGAAAGGATAAAAAAGATATCATTTTTATGGCACAACATTCTCACCAAATCAATAGATCAGACTTCACAATTTCTTTATAATCATCAACTTATTGTCTCTTCCTTTAATAGAAGTAGGATGTTTTGGGTATTTTTTTAATGTTAAAGCTAAAAGAGCTTTTTAGGTTGGCAACCACAAATCATTAAAAGTGAGCTTATACGACAGGATGGCTGTCTGAAAGAACAGATGTCTTGCCTGTTTGTCATGAATTTCACTTAACATAAATGTGCTCTGATCTTTTATAAAAATATCTGTTTATGGAAGATGAAGTTTCATGGAAAATGTTTCCAAACAAAATTTTGTCATGCTTGTCATACAAGGTACGCTGTCTTCTTTCCTCTACTGTCCTGTTGCATACAAAAAATGTAAGTTCACTAATAACTCTTGTTATGAACACCAAGATTGCCTTTTGGTAATCATCATAATAAAAACTTCATTAGAATGTATTCATTCACTTCACAGAGGTATTTAGATTGTAGAGTTCTGAAGAACTCTCCATTCAAGCTTGTATTGTCAGAAAATGAATCTATATTCATTGAAGACATTGTGGGGTCATTTCTTTTACTCTTTTCGTGGGTAGAGAGAGGGGGGGGGGGGATAATAATTACAAGAAAAAAACCTGTGGAACAAAACATTCCCATACAAGTTGATGTCTCTAATTAGAATGTCAGTTTCAAATTTTATGTCACGAACTTACTAGTTTGAACCTTTGCGTTTGTTACCAGGTAAAGCCGAGGTAAAGTCATTCCACTCTTCTCCTTGTATTCTTCCACACTGAAACCTTCCTCTTCCACTTTTTCAACATTGTCGTTGCCCAAATAATGGGTGTCCATGTCTGAATATTTGCCGTACTGGCTATTCAGATTGGGGAAAAAGAGTTCCTGTGCTTTTAATAAACATTCTTCATACTTTGCATGCCTCGGCATTCCCACTGTGCGATTTCCACCACCTTTTCCTTTCTTTACCTGCACATACTTGCCATTGATAAGATGTTTCCAGCCAAATTCCACTTTTAAGGTTGATTTGGAAACTCTTTTAGATCTACAAACTGTACCATCTACAGTTGCTGCTGACTGGTCCCCTGAACGCTTTCCCCTGCTGTTTAGTGCTTCTTTAAGACGTTCTATTTTATCATCTAAATTTGGACTTTGGGTACAAAATGCTATTAAAGCAAATCGGTCTCACATAGCATTTAACCCAAGATCTTTAAAGTGGGATTCATTCATCTTACCCACTGCAAGACCATCAATCTATAAAACAAATGAAAACAATACTCTAAAACCACAAGGAGCAATTTGCCTTTACTATGAAGAGAGGGTAGACTCCTGACGTTTTCTCCAAACGATATCAATGATTAGCTCATCACAAAATTTAATTATATCAACTGTGCGTGAGGTTAAATGCTGTTGATATGCCTTAATCAATTGACCAATTCTTTCAATTAATTCTTTACGGATATGTATGGAAATCAGTCTAGAAAAATTGTTTGGATGTTGGGCCTCAGAGGATTAAGGCAGGGCAGCCCTGCTTGTAGGCCTCTAAATAACGGTTCACTTTTCTGAGTTGACCGGTTGACGTGCCTGCGTGAGACACTGTTACTAATTATGCAAAAGCATAAACAAAACCAGAAACAAAAGAGCGTCTGCATCTAATTAATCAAAATTGTGTACATAATGCAGGGCTTTTTACGGAAATCTTGCCATAAACCTTTGTGATAGGGGCAAAGCATAAATAATCGCAAGCTCAACAAGCCATAATCACCTTCTGCTTTCCAAATTGTTCAATTACTATTTCATCCACCCCTCTTCCACGGAGAAAGTCTAAAATCTGAAAAACAAAACCTTCTTCTTTTCAGTTTCATGGATTCTAAGTCCATAGCGAGCAAGGGAGACATTCAAACATGAAAGCTAAGACAATACCCGGGGGGGTACTCGCAGAAAAATTGGGTAGGGGTGTGCGGCCCGCTTCCTAAAACCCTTACCCTATTTATGACCAAAATCTGCGATTTTCCCTACCCTATTTATGACCTAACCAAAAATTTGATACCCTATTTATGACCTGACCCTTAAATCAATACCCTGTTTCAGACCTGCCTTATAATTATTTCCCTAGTTCAGACCAATGTTAAAGGCAATGTTTATCTGCTTCTATTAGGTTAGGGGGACATGATAAGGAAGTAGCTTCTTCTAAAAAAGTGCATTCAAGACTCAGTGCAAAAATCGTTACCCTATTTATGACCAAAATGGCGGCAAAATAGCCAAAATCGATACCCAATTTATGACCAAAACGGCTGAAAAACCCTACCCTTTGGGGCCGCACATACCTATATAGCCCATATTAGGGAGTACCCCCCCCGGGGACAATACTTGCCTTCTGGACAGTTAACTCCGCCATGTTTATCACTCACTCCACGTGACCTCCTGCTGGGGGGACTGGGAATGAACATTCGTACACAACTCGGATTTTTGCGGTAAAAATTCGAGTTGCAAATTTAGAAACGCACACGACTCGGATTTTTGCGGTAAAAATTCGAGTTGCAAATTTAGAGACGCACACAACTCGAATTTTCGCGGTAAAAATTCGAGTTGCAAATTTTGAAACGCACACAACTCGGATTTTTGCGGTAAAAATTCGAGTTGCAAATTTAGAAACGCACACGACTCGGATTTTTGCGGTAAAAATTCGAGTTGCAAATTTAGAGACGCACACAACTCGAATTTTCGCGGTAAAAATTCGAGTTGCAAATTTTGAAACGCACACAACTCGGATTTTTGCGGTAAAAATTCGAGTTGCAAATTTAGAAACGCACACAACTCGGATTTTTGCGGTAAAAATTCGAGTTGCAAATTTAGAAACGCACACAACTCGAATTTTTGCGGTAAAAATTCGAGTTGCAAATTTAGAAACGCACACAACTCGGATTTTTGCGGTAAAAATTCGAGTTGCAGATTTCGAAATGCACACAACTCGAATTTCTGCCGTTAAAATTCGAGTTGCCAATTTTGAAATGAACACAACTCGAATTTCTGCGGTTAAAATTCGAGTTGCAAATTTTGAAATGCACACAACCCGGATTTTTGCGGTAAAAATTGGAGTTGCAAATTTAGAAACGCACACAACTCGAATTTCTACGGTTAAAATTCGAGTTGCAAATTTTGAAACGCACACAACTCGGATTTTTGCGGTAAAAATCCGAGTTGCAAATTTTGAAATCGAACAACTTGGATTTTTGCAGTAAAAACTCGAATTGCAAATGTAAAGTATGAAAAAAATAAATAGATGTCCTATATGAGCCACGGTAATTTTTAAATGTTTTTTTTTTGTGTGTGTGTGATGAAATACTGCTAGCTGGAGCTGTTACTGGTAAGGCTCGTTGACTTCGTTCTGTGCCGAAAGCAGTGAAAAAAAAAATAGGCTGAAGCACATATTTCACGAACTGAAACTTGTTGTGAAAGCGAAGATCGCTCAGAATGATTCTCAGGTTTCTGAAGGAGGAATTGCAGTCAAACCAGGTCAAGATTCCATTCATAAGATTGATCATTTGAAAGTGAACCCGTTTGTCGCTTCTGTAACTTGTAGCCGGTATCAATTGCATTCAAATGATCGGTGAATTTTTTTACTACAATTTTTAGTATACGATGAAATGGAAAATATTTCAATGGATGGAATTTCCATTTAGACATTCTTCAAATTCAAGAAAACTGAGCCGGCAGAAATTTCAAAACGAACTCACGTGTGTATTCACTACTCATTACCCAAGCAAAAATGCAGATTGAAATCAACAACAACTAACGGCTGGCGGCGTTTTGGCCAATCGGAACAGCGCAAATCATCCGTATTGTTTTCTATCCAATCAGAAAAAAGTCCAGATTCTGGCTTTTTTGCATGTGATCTGTAAAAGAAATGTATCATGCCCTCCTCCCGAAAACAGATTACAGAGATAAAGGGAGAGGGGATGATCGCAGGCTACCTATTTTTGTGATTCACAGTCATTCATACCTAGTAGATTTGTTGTTCTCTCCATTTGATGAGTGAATGCATCTGTAAACTTCGTCGATATGTTCAGTATTTTGTCAATTTCCAATTCACTCTCGCCCCATTTGTTCCAAGCTGTTACGGCGAACAGATAACGCGTGTCAGCGGCTAGTTCTTCACGGTACACAAAGCCAGTAATATTCTCTCGTAACCAGGATTCCTTGCGAGTCATATTGTCCTTTACTATGTGCCAGAGTTGGTGCCACACTGTATATGTCTTCACCAAATGCCCCTCGCTGTAGACCGCTGACCACCTCAGAACCCAGCTTTTATTGCGAGCAATGGTGTTTGTATGCAGAATCGTTGGGCTTGAGGGAAGAACTTCAACGATAAAGGAAGTCATTTGCTTATTAGTAACAATCAATCTGGGTTTATGTGTAGTATGAACAACAGAGTATTCCCATTAACAACAAATCTTGAGCTTGTACAAATAGTTAGCCTGGGAATTAAGATGTTTTAAATTACCCAGTAATCACAAATGTTTTTGTTATCATCATCACCAAACCACCACCACCACCACCACCATCAACATCATCATTATCATCATCATCTTTATTATTATTATTATTATCATCATTATTTAATGCCTATAAACTTACTCATTAACTTAATCATTTATCAGTTTTTTCCGTATTAAAAAAAAGGTTGACCTTAATACCACTTGCCCAGCGGTACATAATCAACTTTTAAAGGGGATACAAATTTCTTGTGTTAGAAAAGGATGACAAGGTCAAGCTCGAAACTAGATGAATAGGGAACGATATTGTCATGTAACGATCGTGGAACAAAGACAAATCCTAGTCATATTTTGCCAGGTTGCTTCGCATTTTACTTCACATATTTGACCATTTAGGACCGTATTTCGTAGAATAAATGGAATAACCTGTAGAAATCACTTGTTTTGGCATTAATTGCATCACAATATCTAGCATGTGGAAAAGCCAACTACTGCCGAGATTGGATGGTAGGGTATTCGTTTTGAATGGTCCAAAAAAGTTCACCTGGTAGAAGAGATTTGTAACAAAACGTTTGTGTATTCTCATTCCGGAATACAATCAATCGAAGGCACCTTTACTGGGTTCTTTTTCAGTAGCTTTACACTGAAAACAGGACTTGTTTGACCGATTGATCCTTTTCAGCCCTGAGAAAAAGATTTTCAGACAAAGGGAAATTTCAAATCTCCCGAACTGTCCTTCGCCTGTTTTGTCGGTGCACTGACGCACCTCCTTGCAGTTTTAAAAATACGGATCGTTTGAGAAACATGTCCAGAGTTTTTTTTTTTTTTTTTTTTTTTTTTTTTTTTTTTTTAAGGCTGCGCTAGCAATAATTTTGACACGGAAACGTTAAAGGGACTTGAAATCCCCCCTTTGACATCCCCCTTCCTCCTTACTTTTCCCTGCTCCGCCCCCCCTCCCTCCCCCCTCCCCCCTTCCACTATGCTTTGTATACTCAGTACACAAACAGTACCATATTCATCCTTTACTCTTAAAGTGGCATGGTTAACACAGAAATCTATATTTTGAATGTACCCTTAAAAAAATACTCACTTCTGATGAAAACAGCTTTCGAATCTTCACCAACAGAGTTTTTGGCTACACAAACGTACTCTCCCCAGTCTTCTCTGGTGATGTTATAAAACGCAAGCACCGCTTCTGAAGTACAGTTGCCATGATGATGACTCATGACCTTTCCACCCTTGTACCAAGTGACATTAAGAAGAGATAGCCCATTGGCAACACAACTGAGGGTCACATTTGCTCCAAGTGTTAGGAGATGTGGTTTAGTAATGTTTATGATTCTTGGCAAGTCGGCAACGGCTATAGAAATTCCGAGAAAACAGGAGAAAAGGAAGCGCGTTATTATATCCATAATAAAATTTTTCCAGCCCACAAATTTCATGATGTTTCCGCCGGTGCATCAGAGTTCAAAATGTGTACTTGACTTAAGGTTATCAAAAACAGGCAAAAACAGCACAGATAGTCCATACAAACCGTAGCAATTCATCAGTACCGTATACTGAATTTAGAAGAAATGTATGGAAAAATCAAAAAAGATTCGTATTATCGCAATATATTTACACATTAGAGCAAAATAAGCGTATTTTTGCCTAATATGTCGTCGGAAGTCGTAAATTTTAGCAATTTGACGAATTTTGCATCAAACGTTTACCTCTCTGAGCGTAAAACAAAGAGGCAAGACGGTAACCCTGCATTTTTGGATCGGTTCAGGACAGAGCCGATTTTAAGCTTCAAATCATCCATTGCACAGTTTCTAACCAGGTAAGCTGAAAGCCAAGGATTTGTTTTCGTACGATTATATTTAAAAACTGTCCAAACCTCGAAGCGCAAGGCATGAATAACATTATTATTATTCATTCAAAAAATTCTTAAATTTCTGACTGACTCAAATCCCTCAGCTAATTCTTCATAACCAGCCAGGGACGGCAACCGGGAATCCCTTCCATTCCATTCATTCTCATTGGAAGTCCAAACGAATGCTGGCCACATGCATGCGACGCATGCGTAATAACAACCTGGAGATTAGGATTGCGGGCTCCTCTTGTCACCCGCAATAATCACGATTGTTTTCTCTCTTGGAGAAGGGTTCAGTAGTGCTAATTTGAAAGGGGCACTTAGTTAAATAACTGACACTTTTTTTTACCCTTACAGTGGCTCGCTAAAAGCCGCTAATAATTCGAAGGAGGGCACTAATCAATTTGAGTATTTACAATATCTTTTTTCTTGAAATGCTGCTTTTTTGTTCTCGTTTTTTTTTTGTGGTCTTGTGTTATTTTAACTGCAAGCATACAAGGTAAGTGTGGAAATGTTACCGGATGAAGATTGCATAAACATATTACATACGTTTTTTCGCGACTTTCATCTGGACATAGCCTAGTAGCGGGTTATGCATGTACCCAAACTCTAAATGTATCCCGAATACCACTTTATCGTCTGCTGGTTGAATATTATGCAAAACGAACGCTACTTGGGAAGCTGACAAGTTTCCGGCCCAACTAACTCTGGATTCATAACGGCCTGGTGACAAACTGAAGCTTTCTGCTGTCGTATTAATCGTCATTATTTTCGGATAAATGAAGCCGGGTGAGCTTATCCATTCGCCAAACACCACCTTTTTGAGAGTAAGATGCGCTGGCTGATAGTAGCCCCATACTAACGAAACATTGCCTCCGATGAAAGCCTTGGTGGGCTGATCTGGTTTAGAGGTAAACTTGTTACCATCACCTGTTGGATAAAATGCACAAAAATATTAAACGATCTGGGAATCCATAGTTAAGAATGGCAATATTAAGCTAGCCTGTTGTTATTTATTTTTTCCGCAAAAATACAACATTCCTAGCAAGAAAACGATATGGGTCTAGATTTAAAAGCGTAAACTGATCAGATGGACTGGATAAATATAGAGTACTGTGTTGAAATAGACGCCTAAAGTATATTCGTATTTAGGATTTTGATCAACACCTGCTTGGAGCGTTTAAACTTAAAATCAAATAGACGCCCAAGGTGACCTTCTATTAGATCATGTACTTTTCGTCAAAGGAATGTTTGCGAATCGAGGCATACCGAGGACATTGAGATGACATCAGGAATCTAAATGGAGTTTGGATTCAAATGCTAGGATTTCTAAAGTATACTTGGATAGATGTGAAGAATCACAGAATTTCGAATCCCTAGTCTGCTGAAGGTGATCTTCCCCCTCCAACCTGTTTGTAATAATAACGTCAGTCTGAGGCACGTTTGAAACATTTTTAAAGTTCTAACGAAGGGGATGTAGCTTTCCACGCAGAAGTTTTGGGGGTTCGTCTAGTGGGGTAGGAACGTGTGACGAACCCCTAAGATCGTCTGCGTGGGAGGCTAGTTACTATGGTGCTTATGTTGCAGGGTCGGGGATGAGATACAAAAATTTGGTTGCATCAACACAGTTGTTAAAGTCGGGATCTTTTCTTAAGAGGCAGCCCTCCCTCAGAGTTAGTGGAAAAGTCAGCTTTTCAAACTTGAATGGGTACTGTAGTAAACGGAATTCAATAAAAACCAAATTTCGATATCGCAGATCCTGATTATATTACTGACCAAAGGACAATAATCAAGAATGGTCTAACACATTTTTGGAGTGTATGTGTGTTCATCTTTCCTCGCCACGACTACTACTTTTTGAAGGGCAAACTAAGTAATGTAACTGAGCTGAAATGAATCAACAAAAGTTTCTGCTTCGCCAAAACGTGAAAATGATCATGAAAGCGTAATCTTACCTGAAACCAAAAGCTCCTTAAATATATGGACAAGGAAAAACAAAATGAAAAATCCTTTCCCAGGATAAAGGCACATACTCGTAGTTATATTATAAACCAGCGATGGGTATTCGTCCAGTCGGAGGAACTGTGTCTTTCCATGATAGAGATAGCAGTTCTTGGACGAATTGTTGGTTGCGATTAATGAAAGTCGGAAAAGTGATACTATTTAAACTACTCTCTTGACCCCCCACCCCCCCGCCCTAAAAAAAATTATTTCAGTCTAAAAATTGGGCACTTAAGACGTTTACATAGTACAAAAAGTAGCTTGTTATTCATGCTTCACTGAGGATTTTTAAAATGAATCATCGATGAATCAATAAACGAGCAGTGTTTATTTGACTAAAACAATTGCTGGTTTTCATTCTGCTTTAATCATGGAAAGTTCTTACTCCAAAGAGAGGTTAACTAACAATATTTGTAGCTCAAGAGAACGGAAGTTGGGATTAAGAAATGGAATACCGACATATAAAGAAGACCTTTATGAATTAGTAAATGCGACACCTGTGGGTAAGATTTGAAGAGTATTACTCAAAACCCTGTCAAGGGGTTATATATGGCACAACTTTTTAAATTTCAACCCTGCCCATTCTAGCTATTCTTTGCAGACGACTGGAACCAGCTTCAATTCCTAAATAACCGCTATTTTTGGAATCAATACATGCGAAAAATATTTTTACCCTCGCCTTTTTTAAAAGACAGCAAATAGCGTGACATAGCCCCCTAGTAAAAGAAAGAAGCCACTTAGATTGACATAAATAAACACATACACATACACTACAAAAACATCAGCAACAATAATCTCCACATGGATGACTATAATTACTTGCAGTATTATATAGCATTACTTGTGTAACACAAATCATTTTAACTTCTTTGGACTTTCTTCCTATTGCAATGTTGTAAATGTAATGAGGCGTACGCGAAAGGCGTCAGTGAAAGCTTTACCAATTGGATTACGAACAGGTTAGGGGCATTTGGCTACTTCCACTATTGAATTCATAACGTCTAGTAGAAACATGCAAATATAGAAGTGATCTTATTACGTTTGAACAACAACGGCATGGGTCGGTGGTGCAGTATTTTACACCTACGCCTGCCACTTGAAGTGACTGTAGACAGTCACAAGTGAATAACATCTTCAAGTCGACCTTGTTTCCTTTCCATGATGTATTTTGTTTTTGTTTTTTTTATCTTCTCGTTTTTGTGTATTTATACACTTTTGTATTATTGTTAAAAATCATGAATTAAACAGTATTGTATTGTATTAAGAACTTTGTCAGAATTCGTAGATCTTCTGTCGCAATCGAACTGTGAAAGGATACTTCATGCCTTTATTGGTCTCTATTACAATTCCAAAGTCGATTATTGTACCCCTATTCCTTTGGGCTTCCTCATATACACCATCGTTTGAATTGATTCATCATCATTCGTTCTTCGTGTTTGTGGAATTTTTATGGCACTAGTGAATGGAATCCGTAATTTATTTTTCCTGTCAGTTTTTTTTTTCGCACATTTTGCTATTTTGTCCCTTCTTGTTAACCCTGGCAGGCTCAAACGAAAATGGCCAGTTATACCAACTATACAATAACCTTTTTAATCTAAAATTTGAAGCAGGTTCTTATTTTCTAAAATCAAGTAGCCTTCATGGATGTACTGAAGAAGGACTTCAAAATTCATGTGATCAGTAACAGCTTTAATTTTCTTATTTTAGTCATTTTAAGCTATTTTCAATAAAACATTATTATTTTGTTATGCAAATTTTAAATATTAAGTGCTGGGAGCCCGAATACCTCTAAATTCTCTTCGCTACAATGCATTTTTTCTTTGGAAAAAGAAACTAAATAGCCTAGATTTGCACCATTTACCATTCATGTAAGAACCTCTTCTTTAAGGCCGATACACACGTACAAGGCCGATACACACGTACAATTATGACCTGAGATTTTTTAGCCGCCTGTCATCGCTCACTGTAGCTGGCGACGTTTTTTCACTCTCTCGCAAAACGCCGAAACGCGAGTCCCAAGCGGCGGCGGGGATGAGAGGCGGCTGTATTTGCAGGCTAGCATGCAATATTTTACTTACGTTTTTGTTCGACTTTAACCTGCACTGAGTCTCTTAATGGGTTATATCGATATCCAAACTCCAAATGTATTCCAAAATCCACAGTTCTGTCTGTTGGCTGAATATCATGCAAAACAAACGCTGCGAGGGAATTTGTAAGGTTTCCCGCCCAAATAATTGCTGACTCGTAACCTGCTGTCACTGTTGGAGTGTTGGTTGTTCCGTTCACTGTTATCATTCTAGGATAAACGTAGCCCGGGCTTTTCCAGTAGCCAAATGCTACCTTGATGAGAGTAAGATGGGAAGGCTTATAGTAACGCCAAACCAAAGAAACGTTGCTGCCTACGAAAACCTTAGTTGGTTTATCCGGTGTAGAAATAAATCGCTGACCATCCCCTGTTGAATAAGGAGATCAACTGGAACGTGAAAAGACCCCTGTATAGTTATTCCGAGATTTTTTTTTTTTTTTCTCAATTTCTCAGAATCCACAACTAGGATTTAACGGAAATGTAAAATGAACTTCCCCTGAAGTCAAAGAGATTTTACAGTTGCGAGCTCAGTATCCTAACCTTTGAGTGGATGTGTGGATGAGGTTGACCTTGTTTTAATACAAATCTCTTCTTTTTCTTAAAAACTCAGCAAACAACATACTGCTATTGTGGAGCTTTGATAATAATGGAGCATAATAATTATGGTAAAATATTTTGCAGTGGCATATAAAGCAGAAAACATAGCCTTCAGTCACAAGATATTTTGGTTTGTTTTGTTTTTGTTAACCTTCGACATTTCTAAAGTCTCTAAGTATGTGCGTGTCGATACAGATGGCAACCTGAGAGACATTAAGTTTTATCCTCAAAAAGGAAAACTTGTTAACAAATGGCTTTTAAAGTTTGAAGGAAAAGAGAGGAAAACATATAGAAATTTATGACTCAAAATTTAACTCCTACTGTGGAGCTGAATAACACACATCTGTGACAGTACCAGAACATGCGCAGTTTGCTGTAGAGAAACGCATATTCGTTGACACAACTTGTAGCCTTTTGTCTTGTTTAAATTTAGTTAAGGAATAAATAATTCATTTTCTTAGTGCTATAATTCCTTTAAGCCTTCAAATTGGCATCACAAAGGAACTTAAAGGAACAAAAGTTTAGCTTAAAGACAATATAAACAATGCACAGTTAACAAATAATGATATTCGAAGCAGGAAAAAGTTCCGGAAACTGAGGCGGAAAGTGTCTCCTTACCTGAGGTTAAAATCTCTTTTGATACAAATAAGAACCAAAAAAGGAAACTTTTTGTGGGAGAGAAACGCATATTCGATGACAATCAGGACAAGATCAGACGTCTGTGGAGGTTGGGGAATTGATCGCTGGTCTTGTGATGCTTGGGCTACCTGTTAGGGCCTGCATAAGGTAATCCGGATTAAAATATAGACATTAATAACGAAAATAGCAAAGAGAAAAGCGACTTGATGAAACAAGTGGGAAACCTGAAGTCGCTTTTCTCTTTGCTGTTTTGCTATTAATGTCTATATGCCAGAATCTCGCCAGAACAACGCGTCACCGTTTAACTAATTGCCAGAAGACGACCTTTATTTAGTGAAGGTGGGAGGAGCTAGAACGATAGACTGGTAACGCGTTATATATTTCTCCTTCCCTCTACTCGTGATTCGCGCTTGTCTCGCGCTTCGCGCAAAATGCTGACGATCCGTTCGCCTCGCTATGGCTCGTAAAGCGCCTAGTACACGGTAGTCGGAATGACATATATAACTGCGTGTTATCAGCATAGGTATATGCAGAAGGGAGGTGCGAACGAAGGACCTCAAACAGCTTGCTAGTATAACTAAGCGTAAAGCATGAACCCTGTGGAACATCGCGTTGTAAAGCAAATCTGTTTGAGAGTTCCTTTAACAGAACGCTGCGCTCTTCTCTCTAGGTTCTCAATTCGCATTTCGTTTTCGTATTTATCGGCGCGAAAACGGATATGAATTTCCTTTTTTGTTTCGTGTTTGCATTGCACTGGAAAACGAAATTCGTAGTTCGTTTTCCTTTGTTACTGGAGCAACGGACCTACAACTTCCTTTTCTGGTATTTTGTCAGTTTCCACTTTCGTCAATTAAAAACCCCTTCCTGTTGACCCGTGAAGGCTTGGAAACCCACCATTTGTTTTGGCCGGAATATTACAGATTAAGATAGATTTAGTCGGCATTTAAAAAAGGTGTTCTAGATAAAGAGTCTTAAATAGCATAGTTTTTTTTCTTTTGTTCCTTTCGCTGGAAGTTCTTTCTTTTTTTTGTTAAAAAGGTAACGTTGAAAGCTTGTGTTTAGTTCTTTTAATGAGCTTGATCCGTTGACCTCAGTGTATTGCCTCACTAGGCTTCCTGCCATTACTTGACGAACATGGAGATGTACGGTCGGTACGGATATGGTGAAAAGGCTTTTGCGCCGTCACGAAAACCGCACACCTGGCTTCTGTTCACAAATAAGAACGGTGATTTCAACGCCATTTCTGTAACGGAACAAAGCTTTTTCACGCCTTCATCTCTAAAGTGTAGAGTCACACATGATAGTGTTCATACTATACCCTAGAGCCTCTCTTGACACCAAAAGCTTTCCGGTATCAGCTGCGGATCCAGGGGAGGGGCCTGGGGGCCCGGCCTCCCCTTATTTTTGGACTAAACTGAGGCCCAAAGGGCCGGAAAAAAAATTTTAAGGCCGCCCCCCTCCCGGAGCATGCTCCAGGGGCACGCTCCGGGAGCAAAGCTCCTCCTTATGTACCAACGATTTCATAGGTATACTTCATCCTCGGGAGCAGAATTTGCACCCCGCAAAATACTCCACGATATTTAACCGGTTAAATACTTGGGAGCAAGCTCCCGGGGCAAATAACGCTCCCTCGTGTGTACTGACACGTGCAAAATGATCCTGGCGCATGCTCCGGGAGCAAAACCCCTCGTGTGTGTCGGCCTTTAGTCTCCGCGAGGGAAATAGCAGTTTGGGATGGAGCACTGGATATCGGGTATCAGTCTGCTTCTTGTCAGGAATGAACGTCATGGGTACTCTGGTTATAAAGCTATGTTATTAACTGACATGCTACTTGAGGCAATAAAAACTGTCGAGTAAGGCAATGTTCACGCTTTACCCGGTGGTGGATCCAGACCTTCAGATTAGGGGGGGGGGGGGGGGGCAGGTCATCCAGACCCTGAGATGAGGATGGGGGCGGCCTTAAAAATCTTTTTTTCCGCCCTTCGGGCCTCAGTTTAGTCCAAAAATAAGGGGAGGCCGGGCCCCCAGGCCCCTCCCCTGGATCCGCAGCTGATACCGGAAGGCTTTTGGTGTCAAGAAAGGCTCTAGGGTATAGTATGAACACTATATGTGACTCTACACTTTAGAGATGACGACGTGAAAAAGCTTTGTTCCGTTACAGAAATGGCGCTGAAATCATCGTTCTTATGTGTGAACAGAAGCCAGGTGTGCGGTTTTCGTGACGGCGCAAAAGCCTTTTCAACATATCCGTACTGACCGTACATGTCCATGTTCGTCAAGTAATGGCAGGAAGCCTAGTGAGGCAATACACTGAGGCCAACGGATCAAGCTCATTAAAAGAACTAAACACAAGCTTTCAACGTCACCTTTTTAACAAAAAAAAAAAAAGAACTTCCAGCGAAAGGAGCAAAAGCAAAAAAACTATGTTATTTAAGACTCTTTATCTAGAACACCTTTTTTAAATGCCGACTAAATCTATCTTAATCTGTAATATTCCGGCCAAAACAAATGGTGGGTTTCCAAGCCTTCACGGGTCAACAGGAAGGGGTTTTTAATTGACGAAAGTGGAAACTGACAAAATACCAGAAAAGGAAGTTGTAGGTCCGTTGCTCCAGTAACAAAGGAAAACGAACTACGAATTTCGTTTTCCAGTGCAATGCAAACACGAAACAAAAAAGGAAATTCATATCCGTTTTCGCGCCGATAAATACGAAAACGAAATGCGAATTGAGAACCTAGAGAGAAGAGCGCAGCGTTCTGTTAAAGGAACTCTCAAACAGATTTGCTTTACAACGCGATGTTCCACAGGGTTCATGCTTTACGCTTAGTTATACTAGCAAGCTGTTTGAGGTCCTTCGTTCGCACCTCCCTTCTGCATATACCTATGCTGATAACACGCAGTTATATATGTCATTCCGACTACCGTGTACTAGGCGCTTTACGAGCCATAGCGAGGCGAACGGATCGTCAGCATTTTGCGCGAAGCGCGAGACAAGCGCGAATCACGAGTAGAGGGAAGGAGAAATATATAACGCGTTACCAGTCTATCGTTCTAGCTCCTCCCACCTTCACTAAATAAAGGTCGTCTTCTGGCAATTAGTTAAACGGTGACGCGTTGTTCTGGCGAGATTCTGGCATATAGACATTAATAGCAAAACAGCAAAGAGAAAAGCGACTTCAGGTTTCCCACTTGTTTCATCAAGTCGCTTTTCTCTTTGCTATTTTCGTTATTAATGTCTATATTTTAATCCGGATTACCTTATGCAGGCCCTAACAGGTAGCCCAAGCATCACAAGACCAGCGATCAATTCCCCAACCTCCACAGACGTCTGATCTTGTCCTGATTGTCATCGAATATGCGTTTCTCTCCCACAAAAGTTTCCTTTTTTGGTTCTTATTTGTATCAAAAGAGATTTTAACCTCAGGTAAGGAGACACTTTCCGCCTCAGTTTCCGGAACTTTTTCCTGCTTCGAATATCATTATTTGTTAACTGTGCATTGTTTATATTGTCTTTAAGCTAAACTTTTGTTCCTTTAAGTTCCTATGTGATGCCAATTTGAAGGCTTAAAGGAATTATAGCACTAAGAAAATGAATTATTTATTCCTTAACTAAATTTAAACAAGACAAAAGGCTACAAGTTGTGTCAACGAATATGCGTTTCTCTACAGCAAACTGCGCATGTTCTGGTACTGTCACAGATGTGTGTTATTCAGCTCCACAGTAGGAGTTAAATTTTGAGTCATAAATTTCTATATGTTTTCCTCTCTTTTCCTTCAAACTTTAAAAGCCATTTGTTAACAAGTTTTCCTTTTTGAGGATAAAACTTAATGTCTCTCAGGTTGCCATCTGTATCGACACGCACATACTTAGAGACTTTAGAAATGTCGAAGGTTAACAAAAACAAAACAAACCAAAATATCTTGTGACTGAAGGCTATGTTTTCTGCTTTATATGCCACTGCAAAATATTTTACCATAATTATTATGCTCCATTATTATCAAAGCTCCACAATAGCAGTATGTTGTTTGCTGAGTTTTTAAGAAAAAGAAGAGATTTGTATTAAAACAAGGTCAACCTCATCCACACATCCACTCAAAGGTTAGGATACTGAGCTCGCAACTGTAAAATCTCTTTGACTTCAGGGGAAGTTCATTTTACATTTCCGTTAAATCCTAGTTGTGGATTCTGAGAAATTGAGAAAAAAAAAAAAAAAAATCTCGGAATAACTATACAGGGGTCTTTTCACGTTCCAGTTGATCTCATTATTCAACAGGGGATGGTCAGCGATTTATTTCTACACCGGATAAACCAACTAAGGTTTTCGTAGGCAGCAACGTTTCTTTGGTTTGGCGTTACTATAAGCCTTCCCATCTTACTCTCATCAAGGTAGCATTTGGCTACTGGAAAAGCCCAGGCTACGTTTATCCTAGAATGATAACAGTGAACGGAACAACCAACACTCCAACAGTGACAGCAGGTTACGAGTCAGCAATTATTTGGGCGGGAAACCTTACAAATTCCCTCGCAGCGTTTGTTTTGCATGATATTCAGCCAACAGACAGAACTGTGGATTTTGGAATACATTTGGAGTTTGGATATCGATATAACCCATTAAGAGACTCAGTGCAGGTTAAAGTCGAACAAAAACGTAAGTAAAATATTGCATGCTAGCCTGCAAATACAGCCGCCTCTCATCCCCGCCGCCGCTTGGGACTCGCGTTTCGGCGTTTTGCGAGAGAGTGAAAAAACGTCGCCAGCTACAGTGAGCGATGACAGGCGGCTAAAAAATCTCAGGTCATAATTGTACGTTTATGCGTCCTTGACTCTCTTAAAACGCACGTTATTAAACAATTATTGGTTGAGGTTGAGCATGATATCATGAATTATCAAAACCGAGGTGTGTGAGCTTCCTCGATCAATCAGATTTTTCATAGTGAGTCTGATGTATAATAATGATTGTTATTAACGGGCCATTACTATCCTTCAGACCGAAACAGAAGCAGCAACGATCGAAATGCGAAACCTCGGCTGTTAAAAACGAACCGGCCCATTCACAGCGGATCATCTGGGTCTTTGAAGTGTAAATAGTCGACCTCATCGACTGATGACGACTAAACAGTAAGGCCAGCAGTAGACACGTCGAGATCTACATTAAAAGTGACCAAATGTTGCGGCCTATGCAAGCTAGCCTGTTTCACATTGTAGGGGCGGCGCAAAGGGACCAAAGGAATGTGAGCAGGAAAAAAAATAGGCATTGTCATGAGTAGCGAGTCAGCGTTTTTAACAAAAACAAAACTATTTCGAAATGTCATGGTTTGGAGGTGCTGCAGTAAGAGATTTAGGTAAACAAATCAATCATGAATACTGTCCCAGAAAAAGAGAAACGAGAGAGGTCGGCCATAAAAACCGAATGAACATTCTTAATGTTAACAGGAACAAAATTTAGGTGTTTCTAGTGCGTGACAAGCGTCGAGGAAGATATTCTGTGTTTTCACTCAAGTGGCCAGCATCTATGCAAATTTATTGGAACAAAAGAAAGCGTTTACATAAGAAAAGAGTTCAACTCCCACAGGACTGGTTTGGGACACAAACATTGCCGCCGTTTTATTGTTTTGGGACACAAATATGGCCGCCATGACGTCATGAGAAAATACACAATAGCAATGCTAGTTGGTTTCTGCTAAAACCATTAGACTCCTCGTTCTCGTAACTATTGACCTACAGAAAAATCGAACTGATAATCTAATAACTGTCAAGTATAAGCAATGGAAAATTATAATAATCTATTTGTTAAATGCATAATGATTATAACTAGGACTGAGTGAGAATATGTCACTCACTGATTACAGCTACTTTGATTTTTTTTTTTTAATTTAATTTGTGTGCTCTGTGTATCAAACAGGTGATCGCCAGAGATTTATTTCTACGCCAGATAACCCAACTAAAGTCTTCATCGGCGGTAACGTTTCTTTGGTTTGGCGGTACTATCAACCTGCCCATCTTACTCTCATCTACGTAGCGTTTGGCTACTGGAAAAGCCCGGGTTACATTTATCCAAGAATAATCATCATTAATGGGACAACCAACATCCCTCAAGTGACGGCAGGTTATGACACAGCAATAAGCTGGGCGGGAAATCCAGAAAGCTCTCTCGCAGCGTTTGTTGTGTATAATATTCAGCAAACCGACGAAAGTGTGGTTTTTGGAATACATTTGGAGTTTGGTTATAAATATAATCCACTTCAGTTAAGGACTTAGTGCAGATCAAAGTGGAGAAAAATGGTTGGTACAATACTGTATGACAATGCATGCAGTTATAATCAATATTTATACTGAGTTACTACTAGATGTGGGTACAATAACGTAACACGAAACTAATAATAAGGGCAAGTCAAAATACAAACTAGTGTACTACACACCAAAGAGCAAAGATAATGCACTAAAATCGCAATACCATTTATTTAGATATTTGTCCTGGGTTTTGTGCGTTTTCTGTTCATTATAGAGTGGAATACAAGGGTGATAACAAAAACTCATTACTCTTGAGTGCGAAATGGACAAGATAAGCATCGAACGCTACTTGAAAACTGTGTGTACAGTACTCAATCATGAAGTTCTGGAAGTTCTGGAAGTTCTCGTTTTATCACACAAGCCAACAATTTAGCCCAGGGGCCATAACTAGGGCAGAATAATTTCACTCATGGACCTATCAGCCCTTCGCAACTTATCAGTTTTTTCAGTTATCCGGTTAACTGGTACGGTATTGTAATCATCGAAACCTCACATTCGTGGCTAAAACAAATGCTTTGATTATAGATCTTGAAAAAAACAGTATGGAGGACAAAAAGGGTAAGTTATAATATGACATTTTTAGCATTAATGGTTGCCACGCTGGGCAATGGAACATGCGCTCTGTTCGAAGCGCTTTCGTGAACAAATATCATTTTTTTCGTTTCGTTTGATTATCTTCAGGTAAAATAATTAACAATTATGGGACGAGGTTGAGAAAATTATCATGATCTGTCTGTGGCGAGCAGACCAATTATTTGCCGAAGCGGAAGGCTGAGACAAATAATTGATCTGCGAGACACTGACAGGTCACGATATTTTGCGATAACCGAGTTCAGTAATCGTTTTATCATTCGATCACCGAGTTTGGTTTTTTAATGAATATCCTCGGGAAGCGGAGCGATCTTCCATTTTCACGCAAGAGCGATAGCAAGAAGGAGAAAAGCACGGTTTTCTTTACGCATGTGCATAATATTATTTGCAGCCAAACACAATTGGACGGCATTGCGCATGAGCAGACCATTATTTGTAGGCAGTTATTTGCAGGTCACGTGGTGGGCTCTCGGCCAATGAAAAGAAAGATAAATTTGCTTCGAATGATAAATTCATTTATCTGTAAGTTTTGAATTGCGTCGCTTCATTACGGTGACAACCGGTTCCATTTGTCTACATGCAGCCTTAAGATTCAAAGGTCACTGTTCACTCTTCTTGCCTTCTTGTATGAGCACGGCTCAGCAACGGCTCTAATGTGCGCGTAAAACCAAAAGCTGGAGTTTCAGTATTGTACATCAGATGATTAAAGGGTTTTAATCTAGTTTGGATATTACAAAAATGGTGACGATTGGAGTTTTTTGTGGTGATTCGTCCTGAATTAACCTCGTGCATTTTAAGGAGACTGTTGTTACATTTATATTGGTCTCAAACCTGTCTTTGCGTTGTTTCAGTTTACCGTGCAAGTGGCGGAAATGAAGTGACCAACACCACCAACGATCGTGGCGTTATATCCCGTAAAGTGTCGCTTAACTGAACCCGACTCAGTGGTGAGATGCCAAGCGGCAGTGACGCTGGGGAGCTCAGTATTTCGTCGCAAACTTGAAATGACTATGACTCATGTTTCAATTTAAAATCATGATCGTCACCAAATTTCGTCGCAGCTCTCGGAAGACCTCCCGGTATCGATTGGGATGACCATAAATAAAAAAAAAAGTTAACAATGGTGAATGGAACCTAGCCCCGCAAAACAAAAGAGCTACGATTCGTATGGAGTCCAAGTGAAATTAGAGGTTCAGAAGAGCTGCAAGACGACTGAACTGTGTGAGCAAATCAAGCACATGCTTTGCATATTCCATGATGGTCTGTTTCTCCTTTTATTGTATCAATTTGTTAACCCTTGAATGAAATGTATAGATTGATATAGTCTCTTGAAACAAGCGAATTTCCGAAGAGCAGAAACAATATTAATAATTGTTATGCTTCTAGGGACAAGGGATATAAAGATTTGAGAACATCAACGAAACAAAAAATGTTAATCAGTGAAAAAGGCAGTTCTTATTGACGTGTGTTTTCTGACCTGACTGGTTTTCTTGTGTTAAATCATTAATTTATAACTCATTCATTTAAGTTTAAAATTTGTTTCAGAAACCGTGACAGCTACTTCTACGTTTACACTTATTTCTACTCATTACCGGGCACACTTTATTAAACACCAATATACAAAGCCCCACCCGAAAATAATCTACTGTGTGGCACGAAATTTTTGCGGGTTCTAATTTTGCGATTTTTGCGATTTTTTCAGCGATCCGCAAAAATAAGCTCCCGCAAATAAAAATTACCGCAAACAGTTTTCCCACAAAAATTTATTCCAGAGTTAACATTCTCTTACCAACTTGAATTCGCCACACAAAAATGCAGTACTAAGAAATCGTGTCTGTTCAATCACAACTTGTCTCTTTCATTCAGAAACAAAACGGTATACAATGAAAGACTGTTGTTTAAAATTAAAATATGTATTTCTATTGCGCATACTCAATAAAAACGAAAATATTATCAATGCTGGGCACTGGGTACTTTCTGGAAATTGCAAAAAATTAATTCCCAGCAAGAAAAACAAATCTGTCCTAATCACAAAAATTAGTTCCCGCAAAACACAAAAAATCGCCAATCCGCAAAAATAAACTGCCGCTGACATTTCGTGCCACACGGTGACTAGTCGAGACGAACAAGAGAAAACAACATGCAAGTTTTAGAGTCTTATTTTACTTAAATAATGTTTAATGACGTTATATTGTATTTCAAAGATATTTGGCAATAACTGGTCTTCTATGTTCAATACCTTTAATGAAAGGACATTGATTATTTTGTTGAAAAACCTCCTTAGTATGGAAAGCAAATTTTCAGGAGGGGTATTTCAAAGTTTTGTACCGGAACTAGCGAAAGAGAGGAGTTGTTCGTTAACCCGTTGCCGTCAGCTAATTTTTAGGGGAAAACCGCGTTTTGGACCAAGAGAGGACGTTTTGGACCAAATCTTCCTTTTTGAACCATTTTCTGGCTAGGTAGCAATGGAATGGAATGGCTAAAGATTTCCAATACTAAAGACAAAAATGTTTGCTAATTGGATGTAATAGATTTTAAGCAGCTTTTTTTGTTTTTCGCGCTTGTGCAAAAGCCAAAATTTGGATTTTTTCGAATCAATTTCGATCTTTACTCTAGCTCTCTTCTTTTTCCCCTTGGTTTTGTTTTTAGAGCTTGTACTTTTGGCTGGCTTTCTTTCCAAGAAAGGGACAAATTTAATTATAGTGCGAAGAGTAGTAATGTAGGTAAAAAAAAGGAGGGGAAGTTTTTTTCCCCAAATGTTATATGCTTTTTGTCTGTAACTCTGTTAGGATTGGTCAAAATGTGCTAAATGAGGTGCTGGTGGAAAGATCTATCCTCACTGATACTGCTAATTACAGTGCTATACCTTGATAGCTTAAATGGAAAGCTAAATGGGTCCAGGAAGGATAATATGCATAGGTTCATATGGACCAAAAAAACAACCAAAGCGGGCTTCAGAGTTAAGCCTTTGGGAATAGGTTGCAAGATTCCGCATTCTTGTCTTTGTTAGTTTTTTTTTTTTTTACTCTTCTGTTTACCTAGGCGGTGTCCAAGGATTATTTTTTTTTAGGTAATTATTGGTATTTTGATATCAGGGCGTTGCCTTCCATGGCTGACCTTATCAGGACCTGGTCGCAATTGCACTTCTTGTTTAACGTAAAATATCTTCGCAGCTGTCTACACCGTACATGTACGTTATCACTGGCTTCCCAAACTCGGTACATAAATTATCGAAAGATTTTGTAGTTTTTCTCATTACGATTGAATTATAGACCTCGTATGAGACATTCAATATATTTGTCACAAAGTGAACGTTTAGTTTCAAATGTAGAAACATAATAAATAGTCACTTACCAGAAGTTGCCGCTTTGTTGTGCATTTTACCTCTTTGGACTCAAAGGCAGTATTTTACGGGTTTGGGGACTCGTTATTCGAATGCCTCAAAACACACTTTGTCCGAAGCCAACAACAACACCAAAAGCTTTATTTGCATGACCATAAAGGAATTACAGTATTGCAAAAGCTATTAGTCTAAATTTAAGTACTAATTCAACTAATTAGTACGTGCAAAACATTACAAAACCAAGCCAAACACCCCCCACTCCCCCAACCCCCACTTTTTTATTTCTTTCAGGTCTTGGGAATATGCAGTCCTCCCAGTAGAATTCGAAAACAATAGTTAATGCAAATATTGGGGGGCAAACAGAGTGCTTTAGAAATAATTTTGCTAAAAACAAATCAGCTAAACAAATGGCCTTTCCTGAGGGAGGGTTTTGACAGTTGCATTTTTGTCAAGAAAGTTTTTAGAATATGAGAGAAATTTGAAGTCACTTTCGGAAACACCCTCAACAACCAAAAGGGGAACACGGATGACAACCCGGAACAGCTCATAGTAAGTCATTAACAAGTGAATAAAACTGTCCCAAACAGAAAGCAGAAAGAATATTACATATACTAGAGATTTGTATAATTACGTTTGTCATTTTACAGATCGCCAGGATTTTCGTTGTGCTTCGAGGGTATTCCAGATTGTTTGGATTAGCAATCTTCCAAAATCTTCGACATGTGGATGAGATTATGCCGAAAATAGGCACTTGGTTGATATCCTTGCAAATTTAACATTGGCACAATTGGTACTAATACTTTTCTTAAAAAGGTCAAGTGAGATTTTTTTCAGTCGCCTTTCTAAAACACCCTTATCACCTGACAGTATAATACTACCTGTTTTTCTAAGAACTGCACAGAGGCAGTTGACAAAAGCACTCCGAGTAAAGGTGCAACAAATCCCTTTAATTGTTAATGGTATCCAAGAATATGCGCGTTTCTGCCAGACGAGGTATTTTCCTTCTATTTCTCCTTTTAACTAAGGAGCTTTTAACTTCAGGTAGGTCATGCTTCCTCTATAACCACTGCTCTACTATTGCTAAAAACATGGCTAATTAGCCAAGTTTATCTTATGGTGTAGGGTTTCATTATTGTCTTCTCGTCTGATCGAAATCTCTGTAAATTAGGTAGGATAGGGAGTGTTACGGCCGCATATCTCGTCAAATGGTTTAATGTTTAGTTCTTTGTTTAGTTTTGCCCATTCCTGTCACATTCTTTTCAGCTGTTGCAATAGAGTACCAAAGTGTTACGTCATAAGAAATCAAATTTGCGAAATTATGGGATTTGTAGGATATTCTGAAAGAACAACATTCAAGAGGCCTGCTGGCCATAAACCAACACTGTGGGGCAAATTGTTTCTGAGATATTAGCCAAGTTATGCTTTGGTGACTCCATACAAGTCCTTCTAAATTTGACTCGAGTCTAAACGTTTAGACACAAGTCCGGCAAATTTAGAAGTTGTAAAATATCCATTTATCACTGTTTAAAGTATTTCGGAAAGGAAAACGGAGCGAACATCCAAAAGCTTCTTATTACAATTCGTCGGTCTTCCAGTTTTGACAAAATTTCGCCAAGATGACACCGAAATTTCCGATTTGATTCAACGAAAGTTCGTGGATACCACAACGAAAATTTTTTGCGAATTTTCATCGAATTTTCACAAGAAAAAGGGACCGTGAATTCGAAAGTTTCGGCTTTCATTTCTTTTGCACGGTACTGTATACACGTTTCAATTGAAATTGCTTCGGTGAAGAATGATGCATGATCCATGTTTGACAGCCCACGGGTGCATTATGGGAGCAATTTTAGTAAATTACATGCCCACGACGAACCTAGAAATCTAGGCAGTAAACGCCACTGACCCTTTCCAGTGCTACGTCAGCAGAACGTTAAGATAAAGCATTTCAAAACACTGAAATCTAAAGGCCTTTAGCAGTTGCCGCTTTTTAAGAGGACATTGATTTAAGTTTAAATTTGCGCAACCATTTGCGCCTTCTCAAAGGTTATTAACACCTGCCAACAAGTTTTTTAAAAGATACATGGTCTCCATAATTCCAATGAACACTTCCCGCTACAAAAGGGACCATACTGCATTGAAGTCTATGAAACATGGATCATACATCATGGATCATGTTTCACGGGAGCAACCTTGATTGAAATAGGTATATATAAAGAAAGAAACCCACGAGACAAGGAATTTCACACAAGAGAATCTGTAAAGAGCGGAACGAACTCTTTAATATATAGATTTAGCCAGGGCTAAAAGCGACGCTCTGGTTAATAGACTTAAAAACAAAAAATTAAATCGTGTAATGCTGAACAGCGACGGCAATAACAACGGCATCAAAATTAATAGATCTAATTAGCAAAAAGAACAATTTGCACGTTTCTAGCCGTTGTTTCAGGCACGACTACAATGCCGTTTTGCGCGACTAAAACGTGAAACTTCCCTAGTTACACATTAATATTATGGAAGAATTTTCGTATGTGCTCGCCAAAAATTTTGTTGCTTTTGTTCCTGTTTGCTTATATTTTTTCACTGCCGCTCATTTTCACCTTGCTTACCGCTCCTTGTTGACCACTACCGTTTCTCATTTTCTCACCTCCGCTATGAAATTTTCATGTCTTTCTTCCAACGAAATTGGTCTCCGTTGTTTTCAATCACTCGCTCTAGCCCCTTCTCTGTTACTCACGTGAGTGTATTTTAAAAAATATCGCCGAAAAAGACTCGACTTTGTTGTTGACCATGCGATTTCTTGCCAAATAAACCTAGAGTTACATATGGGTTGCCATACCTGTTGATTAAGTTATTTTCATTGGTGTGCCTGTGGTGCGGACAGGCGGGCGGTCGGGCGGACCAACGGTCGCGTGACTACCAAAATTTCTCCGATGCATTGGTAACCAAATCTTCTTACCAATGGTGCTCAGCTGCGCGTGCTTCGCGGAAGCGCGAGCGATCGAGAGCTACGCTATTAAGTCTCCAGGAGGCTGAGCGAGCAAACAAAATCGCGAGAAGTCTTTGTGCCGTAAGCCAACTAATATAAAGATAAGACAAATGAAAAAAAAATAATGTCTCTACAATGTGACAGTTTTTTTTAAGAATAAACAGATGACGTTCGCGCGTGTACATAATTGGGACTGTCCCTTCAGGGCTGTTTTAACTTTTTCTATTTTCTATCCAACAGCCGATCGTCAGAGATTTATTTCTACACCAGATAAGCCGACTAAGGCTTTCATCGGTAGCAACGTTTCTTTGGTTTGGCGTTACTATCAGCCAGCCCATATTAGTCTCATCAAAGTTGTATTTGGCTACTGGAAAAGCCCAGGCTACGTTTTTCCTAGAGTGATGACCATTAATGGCACAACCAACATTCCCGAAGTGATGACAGGTTATGAATATAACATACGTTGGGCGGGAAACCTGACAGATTACCTTGCAGCGTTCGTTGTGTGTAATATTCAACCAGTCAACGTAAGATTGGAATTTGGGATACATTTAGAGTTCGGATACAGGCATAACCCGCTAAGGGACTCAGTGCGGATTAAAGTCGAGAAAAAACGTGAGTAATGATGACTTTAAGAACAGTTAATTGTCTGCCAATTATTTGATCTCAGTGTCACCTTGCATGCTTTAGAAATACAAAAGAAAAATAAATGATCCATTTCATATATCATTGACAAAACGCTCTCGTTATACCAGGGTTTCCCCATAAACTGCATTGTTAATCTCAGAGTCTGAAGCATTGTGAAATTTGAGGGCACAGAAATTTTAATTTTTTCATGGTAATTATGATATCACTATCTGTTTTCTTTGTTTCCTTTTCTTTTTTCTTAAGCCGTTGCTGACTTCCCAAGAATCATGAACATTACTAAGCCACCTCTCCTAAAACTAGGAACTAATCTAACGCTCAGTTGTGTTGCCAATGGGTTATCTCTACTGAATGTCACATGGCACAGGGGTGGAAAGGTCATGAGTTACCACCATGGTAACCGTACTTCAAAGGCGGTGTTTAAGTTGCACAACATAACAAGTGAAGACTGGGGAGAATACGTATGTGTCGCCAGAAACTTAGACGGAGAGGATACCAAAACCGTTTTTCTCAGAAGTAAGTTGTTTTGTTTTGTTAGTATACATGTAAAATAATGGTCTCTACCTGAATTTTCAACTGACTAGATTAGCAGAATTTCCGCAATTTCTCTCAAATTCCCTTATCTGACTTGGCTTTTTTACTGTGTTTGTTTGTTACTCCCTTTTTTGTCGTTGTTGTTGATTTTAAACGCATTTACCCAGTTTGACGTTTAGGAGAGGGCACCAACTTATGTAATCTAGGGCAATTGGAGTAACTTCGTTAATGAAGAACGGAAACTGCCGAACTAATTATAGGAGAATTTTGATTTGGACAGGATTATGCAAAAAAACCACCCAGTTTCATTGCATCGACGGGATATTCAATCCCACTTATGGTCCCCATTTTGGAGGCGTATTCGCAACTATTATAAAAACCTGGCGCAAAGAAGGTCACCAAGGCAATTCATGGGGACGAGGATATTAATCATCAGCCTGGCAAGAGATCTGGGAGCTAAATTAAGACTGGTCAATTTTTGCGCTGCGAGGGCATGAACAAAATTTTGTATGTCCTAGAGATGCAACTTTCTGAATTATTTCATGCTTAAATTTTGCAATTTCCTTCTCGCACATAAACCTAACAACTGGATGGTTTTTTTCTTTTCAATGCATCCAATAACTTTTGTCCATGTCCAATTATAAGTCATGACTACCCTTATCTAAAAGCAATAAAGGACCACTTTTTACTTTTCAACTGAGCTGTTTGTCTCTGTAAAAACCACTAGGAACACGAAGAAACCTTGCCTTATAAGAGTCCAAATCAAACAAGAAAACAAATAAACAAACGTTGATCCATGTAACGAAACGGCTATCCCGCAGCAGGATTAAACAATTTCAAAATCCAAATAATTTAACTGATCATGACTTGCATGAAAAGGCAAAAAATATGGCATTGCATGACCTTTTAATTTAAAGGGTGAGCTTACAGAGTACGCCTTTTCACAATTTTTCTTTTACCTTTAAAGAATTCCGCTAAAAAGAAAAAGGGAAAAAAAGAGTTAAAGCATTTTTCGCCCCGAGGATTTTCTTTGTACTTTTGTGTGGACTCTGGAAAGACTTCTAAAGTATACGACACTACTTCAATCTATACCGCTAATTTCGTCAGCAAATGTTCTATCGCGAGCTTTTCCGCATAAGAAATTTTCTCTATACACGTGCAACCACTTCACCGAAATAATATTTTATCGTCTGCGACTAATTTTCTCTTTCATTACCAGTTCTTCTTGCCAGCCCAGTGATTCTAAATGGAAACAAGATAGTGCGTAATGCCAACTTTTACCTGCGGTGGTCACCGGTCTACACCGATGGTAACTTACTGATGTTGTATACGGTTTGGTTCCAAGTCTTAAAAATAGTAAATAAAAGTATGACTACCAAGGAATTCTGGTTACGGGAGAACATTACTGGGTTTGTGTACGTCAAAGAACTAGCCGTTGATACGTGCTATATGTTCGCGGTAACAGCTTGGAACAAATGGGGCGAGAGTGAATTGGAGGAAGACAAAACATTGATCATACTGACGAATTTCACAGACGGATTCACACAGCAAACGGAGAGGACAACAAATCCACTTGGTATGAACGACTGTTAATTAATTAGAAAAAAGAGTAGTCCTTCTAAATAACTGATAAAATGAATTCCTGTTCAACATGGTTTTTCTGACGAGAGTAGAATCGTTGAAGTCGCGACGAAGAATAGTTGAAGTCGAGGATAAGGTGAGTATTCAATTCAATGAGTTTCATTGAGCCAAATCAAAGGCACTTCGCTTTTTGCCCCACAACGCACAGAAAAAAGATGGCGAACTGCCGAAATTCAAACAACTGTAACCTGGGAAAGGCGCTCAAAAGTGATTAAGAGGGATTAAAGTGGGGCTTAATTCTATTAACTATTTGCAATCTCTTCCAAAGCGCAAAAAAAATTCAACTTCAGCCGCCTTCAATACAATCTTAACAACTTACCTGAAATTAAATTCTAGTAGTATATAGATTCATTGGCTGATGTCTGATGACTTATTTCATCCATTTGTTTTCAGCTACAACAAAGCCACTGAACAGGATGTCAATACCACCAATCTCTAGGGGCAAAAACGAAGATAAAAATAGAAAAAATTCCATCTCTGTGGAGACGTTTATTCCGCTCACCATCCCAGTTTCTCTGGTAGTATTATGTGCAGTTGGGTTGGCTTGTTATTTTAAGCGAAACAATTGTGTCCGCAAAAATCCAAGACGGAAAGGTGAGTAACTGACAGAGATGATTTCTTCCAACGGACTATTTTTGGTCCTTTCCTGATTTCTACAAGAGGTTTGCAGATTACTTTTCAACTTTACCGTGTGACGCATGTCACCAATTTAGTTTGTAATGGAAACACCAATCAACAAAAAAATCTCCCCCTTTGGCTAAAACCACTGCTATTTGTTGACACGTGATGTAAAGAAGAGAAGATAAAGAAAAAAGTTATCAATTTTTAAGTGGCCATGTTAGGGCTGTCTAGTTCATTTTGTCATGCTAATTACATGACTTTCCTTATTCGCTATGGAACTTGACTCAAAAATGGGAGGTCGTGGTTCGATCTCCAGGGCCGGACCAATACCCAGGTTCTTAAACAACTGACAAATGTATAGGTACAAGCCTTTCCCAGCTATAAATGGCTACGTCCAGGTAAAATGGCGGTCCTGTCTGCAGTAGGAAACGTAAAAAAATCGATGTCCTCAAATAGTATTTTCGTGCCTATTTAACATTAGACTGCTTGCAGTCCGCCTTTTCCTCTTAAAATCCGTCTAGTTCTTAACTCAGCCAGCCCGATTGCAAACCACGACGTTATGTTACAATAAGGGATCGTTCTTGGGTTTCGCGTGCAGTAACTTTGCAACGGAAAAATAAGAGCCTGCTCACAGTCTAACTTAGCACTCAAATAAAGAGCGTTTTACCATGCTTGATCGGCCAACTTTGTTCGACAACGTGCATATACAGAGATTCATATAGTTTCACACTTTCTTTTTGTATTACGTACATGTAGCTGCCATACCAATATGCGATCATTTCCATTTTGCTAATGTGGACTGTTCCTTACATGTGAATGCTTTAGTTATAAAATAAAATCAACTTGTTGAAGCTCACCGAATCCAAAAACTTGTCCCCGAATATCAAAATTTAAAGACCTTAAATTCTAGAATAAGTCTCACTTAAAAAGTTACCATTGTTTAAACAGGGCACCTGTCCATAAGACAAAAAAACAAGTAAACAAAATAATCATCTAAAGAGTTACACAATTTGACTGTCTTAATGTCTTTTTTATTATGACAGGGCGACAAGAATGGTATGTATTTGAAGTGGTGATTTCCTTTCTTTCTTGTGATACATAGTATTATCTTCTTTCTTGCTATTGCTATTCCTTAACAACTTCAAAACCGTTCACATAGTAATCCTTTATGACAGATGATTGCCCACACATGGGATACTATAATTTAGCACTGTTTTAAAATCTAGCCCATAACCATATAATGTTACTTGTTACAGTAACGATTCATGATATTTATTCCATTACTTACGTTTTCCACTTGGAAAAGCTGACATATTTTAATGGCATCATAATTATTTGCAGGATGACAAGAGTATCTTTTGCATCTCATTTGGATCTCACTTCTGAGCCGGTATAGTGATTTCTTATTTTCCATCGAAATGGGTGGAAAGATCTCACGTCTCAACTTTATACATTTTAGGATTTTTGTAATATGAATAAAAAAAATTATATTTTAGTACGTTACTTTTGCGTCCTCTACAAACCAAGATTTTACGCATATAACCTGTATTAACCTGTTAACTGGTTTCAATACCGTGCACACCATGCAAGAACTGGAGATTTTGACAGTATTCAGCTACAACCGAGAGCCTTTCTCCAACAACAGAGTAAAAAATTAAGAAAGAGAAATAAGTTACTTAACTTCTCTGCTGATAGTACGGTAGATTTACGAAAAGGGGGCCTGCCCAACTGCTTTTTACACTAAGAAATTTTACATGTAAACTTTACGCACTTGAAACACTGTATATGGCGTTTCGCTCTCAGATTGTTGCTATTTAGGTTTCAAAAAAACAAACTGGCACACCACAAAACACCACATCACACCACAGCCCTGAAATTGCGTAATCAGATATATGGGTTTCTTGTAGGCTCAAGACGCAGAGGATAGAGATCACTCAGTAATACTATCAGGGTCATCACGTTTTATCCAAGAATCAACATCAGCATCAGCAACAAACATGGAAGAGCGCTGCATTCAACCCACCCCTGGAGAATCATTTTTGCTTACGCCTTTCATTTCTGGGCTGAGCTCTGGAACAAATGCCCAGACGAGCCGAGAGCAGCCAGCCTCACTGAATATACTTTCTTCTTGCACAGGTGGTGAAATCAGTAATCGAGATGTTATTTCTGTAATGAGCAGTGATACCCTTGAAGAACATAACATCAACATGGAGACTAACTGCATCGGCGCAGCAATCGAGAAAAGCCAGGGAAAATTCAATTTTAGTCAACAACTTTGGAATCCAAAGTTTCAACAAACGTTGGATTCCCAAGGTTACCTTCAGCCAGTGGATGGTGATAGTGTGACCAATTCCAGGACGAAGTTAACAAAAATGGCAGGAAAAGAAACCAAAACATCACAATGCAAAGGCACAGTGGATATTTCTTTTTCTTCCATAGGAAGTGAGGTCATTAATCCAGATGTTACTTCTGTAATGAACAGTGAAAGCCTTGAAGAACGTAACAACAACATGGTTACTAACCGCAATGGCGCCGCAATCGAAAAAAGCCAGAGAAAATTATATTTTAGTCAGCAAGTTGAAAATCCAACGTTTCAACAAATGTTAGATTCTCAAGGTTACCTTCAGCCAGCAGACAGCGATAGTCTGACCAATTCCAGGACGAAGTTAACAAAAATGGCAAGAAAAGAAACCAAAACATCACGGTGCAAAGAGACCTCGGTTGATGACCCTCCCTTACCATTTACAAGTGGGATAGAAATCGGCTGTCGGCAAAGCGTAATTCCTCGAACTCCTAACCAATCATTTCCAGTCGATCCTAAGAAAAGAACTGCCCCTAGAGCGAGAGACTATCAGAATGAACGACTTCCAGACACTACATATAAGAATGCAGTAATCCAAGGCTCCACGTATCATCCCATTCCCATTGGCGAGTCTCAATATGCACACATTTACTGCAACGCTAACTGGGAAATCCCACATGACCATCTTATGTTGAAAAAGAAAATTGGTGGTGGGTCGTTTGGTCAGGTGTGGAAAGGAAAGGTGTCTGACATCACTGGTGCTGGAGAGCGGTCAGTTGTGGCTGTCAAGATGCTGAAAGGTAAGATTATTATAAGTGTAATTAAGTGTTTAAGGGCCTGGAAGACCTAAGAAGACTTGTTCTCAGCCAGCGCACGGGCAAAAGTTTATATCAAGCAAATGTAAGAAACCTTTTCTACTGAAATGCTGATCTATGAAAAGCCAAGTCGAAAAAAATTCAAGATAACGTCATTATGTCACATGTAGTGCTTTATAAGGAACCAAACAGTCTCTGAAAATGGTCTATCCCTTTAGGGTTAACATCTTTATCATGAGGACATATGCACCTAAAAAACCCAGAAGTTGCCAGCAGAAATTTCTTATTTTTCGGTCGCCTTTGACATACTGTGTGATCTTGGCGGGCGCATAAGTATTGAGCATGCGTACTTAGGGAGTAATGTGTAAAGGCTTGTTTTGTTTACTTTCATAGGAAATACACAAGCAAAGATAACTGAAAATCAACTCATAAAAATTGGACGAAATTCGGTTGAAATGATGAAAATATCGCATTTCAGTCATGAAAGCCTCAAAATAAACGTTGAACTACGACTTCAGTGGGTGGGGTCGACAAGGAGCAATGTGACTGGAAAGGCTAGATTAACGTGACTATGACGTCAAAGTGGTACCCAACTCAAGATATCAAGTAAGGGATGTAACACGAGTATGGTAACGAGGTCAATGAAGTCACGCATACGCTAAAAACTTGGGAATACGTATTTGAATAAAATAAAATCTGCTTTACACGCGGGAACTTGGGAGGGTCCTAGTGACCACTCGTCTCAGACTGTTTTTACAAATTCAACAAACTCTATATATGTCTCACTCATCTACGTTTGTATCCTTAGGGGTATGTGACAAAGGTCAGTTGATCCAATCCCCGTTTTTGTGTACAAACCAACTGAAACTTTTTGTACTCTGGAAAGGTGAAGAGATAGTAATGTTTTGCATCTCAGTTTTTTGACAGATCTAGATAACTTGAATTTGGTGCGTGTTCTTCAGCGGTTTCTGCACCTCGTTTTGGACGTTTTTCTTCATCACTTGGTCATTCAATGAGGCCTCTCCCTCACTTTTGAGGCTGAAACATCGGACTTTGCAACCAATTTTGTCGCGCAAGGACTTGTACCTGTAGTTCCAATGCGAGAGCGAGTTCGACGATGTAGTCTCCAGCTTCGGGCTTTTATCTTTGAAATCTTTTTATCTTTGAAATCGCCAAAGACCTTGTCCGGTTCGCCAGGACGATTGATAAAAATAACGGATTCTTTGTCATTATAATACAGAAAGCGTCCTCCCAAGTTCGAAGGCTTTGTATGAGTGCAATCAGTCGCGACAGCTAGTGAAGCAAGTGACGAATATGTTCGCCAATATGCTATCGTTCCCCTTGTGCTGTTAGTAACACACTTCTACCCTCTCTTCAGTGAGTGGACTTACGTATCTGACGTCATGCTCGTCTGAGTCTAGGAACATGTGAAATGCTATGTGGTCGACGATTTCTTTGACTTGGGTCTTGTTTAATCGTTGGCCAAACTTGTTCCGCATGGAGCTGAACAGAATCTTGGCCGTTTGTCTAACACACAGATTGTACTTCATATTGTGAGGGTCCAAACGAATGCCTTTCTTTGCGTGATATCATTAGATGTACTCGGCCTTTTCCTCTTCGATTCCCCTCCATCTGGCCTCTACCTTTATTTTCACCAGCCGATGTAATCTTCCAACAGATCCGAATGAGGAAAGTGCCAGAGTTCATTGATGTGAAACATCTTGTAACATTTGTATACAGCCTTCTAGAATTCCGGGGTACATTTGCTTTGCAGGGCTCTCTCGTGGTCTATATAAATACACGAATACGATTTGCCCACCAAAAGTTGGGTCAATTGATCTTAAACGCAGGTCGCGCACAACGGGAAAGTCAGTTTGTCACCGTTTCGGAATGAAAACAACGGATGTTATACAAAGTCACGTAGATCTCGGGGTGGAGGGACTTTGCAGTGTTAAAGTACAAAAGTACTGTTCCAGGTCTGAGGGGTCTACGTCACTACAAATTGCTGGATGGCCCACGGGCTAATGGCCTCGTTTGTTTACCCAAGTGTTGGTGGGAGGTGATGTTCGGATGTTACCGTGTGCAAATCAGGTTCTATTTTTCATTTAAATGAACTTTCTGAAGTTTCCACAGTATGTACTACGTGATCCTGATTTAGTGCCACTGTGACGTCATGGTCACGTTGCTCCCGCCTTACCAGTCACATTGCCCCTGTCGATCACAGCCACTGACCACGCCCGTGGAAGACACTGCACGTTACAACTGCTGTTCTCTTGGGTTTGATCAATTAAGTTATGATAGCGTATGAGTGTTTCCGACAAACTTAAAGGTGTATTTGAAACAATAAAAACATGAAACATTCAATGTTTGTGTTTTGTTACGAAGTACTCATGTATGTACTGAATTTATTATTGGCCACAGAAGATCAGAAGTAAATTCCTTCAGTTAAAATAGTTTGAGCCACTTTTTAAACGTTTTATGAGAAGCTAAAATGGAGATGGATTTTGTATTAATGGTCACGTTTACCCCTTGTAGAAAATTTTTCCAAGTCAGATCTCAAGGACCTTCTCTCAGAGCTTGATTTGCTGAAGAAGCTTAAACCTCATCCTAACGTCATACGGTTGATGGGCTGTGTGACCAAAGATGTGGCACTATGCAAAGGAAACAGGAAGTTCAGTAAGTGTAGCACTTCAAAAAAATGTGTCAGTCACATCTAATTCCTTATTTTTAATTAACTAATTTTGAGCTTACTTGATCTGAGACTTTAACCCAATTTAGACCCGAATGTTGGTTTAACCAGTTATAAGAGCTGCAGTTTTGAATTTTCAAAAAAAGTTAGGCCTCTTGCTGAGACTGTTGAAACATTGAAGTGGTGTTTTACAGGGCCACCTCTTGTTATCCTGGAGTTTGCTGCTCATGGCGATCTTCTTGGGTATCTTGTGAAAAGCAAGGGACAATATGATGATTACTATAATTTAAAGAGAAAGGAAGACGCTCATAAGATAACAAAACAACTGCTTCATCAATTCGCCGCCGATATTGCTCGAGGAATGGAATATATCGCCGCTAACCAGGTGCGTTGTATATAAATAAGGTGTTTTCAAAACCGTCAAAAAGTCATTTCCATTTTCTTAAACTCACACCTACATCAATGAGCCAAAATCCATGTTAACTGATTACACCCTAGCTTGTATATACAAATGATGTATGTATGATTGTTTATTCTTTTTTAATACTGACAGCTTATCCACCGAGATTTAGCTGCCCGCAACGTGTTAATCGGTGATGGCTTGCGATGTAAAATTACCGACTTTGGAATGGCTAGGGACCTGGGAAGAGGTGAAATTTACATCAAGAGATCAAATGTGTGTCGGTAATGGTTTGCGGGCTTATTTACAGCATTCACATAAATTCAAAGAAAAGTTCAACCTTGCTATAGTGGAACTCTGCCTAAAGACAGCTCCATTACTGCGTTTTTCATTAATAAAAAAGTGGCGCCTCAAAATTAAAATTTTAACTAACGGTTTCCTTTGCTTCCGTCAATCTTCTAACGGACTTCCCAGAAAAGATTGGTTTCCTTCAATGTCTTCTAACGGTCATTTCTGTGTGCTGTACCATTTGCGTAACGACAATCAAGGATAATTTTGCTATTATTCCGTATTTAACTTTTATGACTAAATTTGATCAGAATTAGGGTGCTAATTAAAGCCAATCAGAAACGGAGAAACATTTTCATATAATAACAATGATATTGACTTGAGTTTAGAATCCAGTGATATGATATATTGTTGCTATTTTCCTGTTAAGGTCCCATTAAATTCTGTAAATGACATACCAACATAAATCTACCAAGAAAATGTTTGCTGATGATAAAAAGTTCATACCGTGAACATAAACTGGAAGAAATTATGGATTGAGTCGATACGTTTGACAAATCATTTGCGATCACAGCCTTCATCCTTATGTTAGTCATGACCACCTCAACACCAGAGAAATGATTTAACACCATGACGAGAGTAAAAACATACCGGCTATCTACACATCGCTAATTTTGCATCGTTAGCTTAAATTCTCACATACAGACCAATTGACCTTGGGAATGGCCATAGATTTCTAAATGATTGTAGGCCAAAAACACTCATATATTCTTGCCACGCTGATAATGACAGTACTCATTATCTTAAAGAAAAAACTTCAAGCTCTCTACCAGAATACTCTTTTCGCTGCAATAGAGTGTTTTCACATGACGTCATGGCGGCCACATTGGTGTCCCAAAACAATGAAACGGCGGCCATGTTAGTGTCCCAAACCAATCCTCAGGGAGTTGAACTCTTTTCTTATGCAAACGCCCTCTTTTGTTCCAATAAATTTGCATAGATGCTGGCCACGTGAGTGAAAACACTCTATATTATCTCAGTATTAAGGATAGGTCAAGGAAACAGGCTGTGTTTAAAGGTATTATCAAAGTAGCCTGCTTTTATGTAAGACGTTTACATACAGGGCTTAAACAAAAAAATTGGCTCACTACACCTCTATCTCCCGTGGTCTTATTCATGTCTGTTAGGGATAAGTACATTAAATAAAATCGGACGACATGTTCAACTGACATTACATTGAAATCTAATTTTTGTCTGCTTGTATATTAATACTTTCCTTAATTAATCTATAAATCCGTCCAATACTCCATGTAAATAAACTATACCAGAGATTGTACATTTTTTAAAAAATATATGGCAAATCTGTAAAGAGGGCAAAGATATAAAATGTTTTCATTTTGTATAAATCGTGAGGCCCATCAGTCCTTGCATCAAAAGGTCAGCAGATTGTGCTCTCACTAGCCTCTAAAAATGATATGCCACAAGAGAAAATAAAACTCTCTTGCATGCCATTTATGAAACGTATCTTGCCTTGATGGCATGCGAATAGATTTAACTGAGCAAATGATCACATTCGCTATTTTATACGTTCAGATTTTTTTTTTTGCTTAGGTCTGGCTCAGACGGCGTACTTCACATGCGACGAATTCGAGGGTTTCAAAAGGGTTAACCGTCAGTCGTCAAACGGCCTAAAATTTAACCGTCAACCGTCAAAAAAGGTACATTTTTACCGTCAGCCGTCAAAAATGTTCAAGGCATTTCAAGTCTTGCTCCTTTTTTTAGTATTTCAGCTGATCTTCATGGACTTCTGGCTCCTGAAGAATCTCCAATTAAAGCTGAGAAAACCAGTTCCCATATCCTCAAAACACTCTTAGACATTACAAGACCTCAGAACTTGCTTATACATCCCAAAATATTTCGAAATTGTATAAGTGAAAGGCCAAGACAACCTCCAAAACACAACGAACACTTATTTACTATTATTTACTATTTACTAAAACTCTTGGACTAAATTTCCACTTAACCGTCAACCGTCAAAAGCTCCAAAATCTATTCGTCAACCATCAAAGCTTCCACCCAATTGAGACCCTCGAATCTGAATTGACTGAATTAATTTCATGTCAAGTACGGCGCCTGAATCAACTCGGATCGGCTCAGCCATTCCCTCAGCCGTTCTTCACGCCTGATTCACTGCCGCGAATAACGTTTGTGGACCCCCGTTGATTCAGGCGCTCCGAACTTCACATTGGGCGAACCAAATGCATATTGTTTTTACAATGCAGTTTACCTTTTGAATTAATTTGTGGGGGTATTGTAGGTTCTGTGTACTTGAACTTCAGACCAAAAACCAGGAGGAACGTTTAGATAAAGAACGTATACAGAACATAGAGGAGAAGTTATATTCTAAATGCAAGTCACGAGAGATTGCAAATAATAAAATTTAAAGTGTGGTAAAGGCCTGGGCTGCGGTGGAAAAACCACAGGCCAATAACATTGCAGAAAGGAATAAAGATCGGCGTTTGAGTCAGTTCGTCAGGTCTAAAACTAATTTAAGTCGGCCTAAAAGTTTGAATTCGATTCCGCTCATGTGTAATGCGTCGTCTGAACCGGGCCTTTTTTTGCCTACAGGGTCTTATGCCAGTGAAATGGATGGCTGTGGAGTCGTTACTAAATCAAGTTTATACCACAGAAAGTGACGTGTAAGTGAATAAAACACGTAAGAAAACTAACCTTTTAATTATTATTAAGGCCCGCTAGTGAGTCCTTCACCACCTAAAATAAATAAGGAGTATAGGTTGCATAAATTCTTCCTCAAACGTACGAGCTTCTCGGTTGTGTAATGGAAAATATATACATGTAAAATGTACAAAAGTACGGTTACGTTTGTACACGCCTACAATGTACAGCGTTTACGGCTTTCGTCCACACGGGAAAGATCACACACGGATATTTTCGTGAAAAGGAAAGAAAACTTAGTAAACAGAAATATCGCTCTCATAACATGCACGGACTCGTGTAATCATATAGAATAAAAGGCTTAGCCAGCGATGTTTATTATTGCTAAAAGGATTTGGAGCAACATAAGTGCTTTTGCAATGCAGTATCTATGAGGCAGTCTAACACTGCGCTTAATTATAACAAAAGTATCTTTGTCAATTTATAGGTGGAGTTACGGGATCGTCCTGTATGAGATTTTCACTATTGGTAAGTACTAAAGCCTCTAGGTTCATGGAAAAAACAAGGAACTTTATTCTCTTTATTTACTTCTTTAGTACGGCTTTTCAATTGACAACAGCCAGGAGAAAATATTACAAAAATATATGTTCATATCAATAAACAACTGAAAGGGCTCTTAGAGTCTAGTTGAAAGTGGAGTCAACTGAGTTGTTTGGTTCCCTATAGTACGCTAAAACGCGTGCAATAAAAACAACAAAGAATATATCTAAAATATGGCTTAAATCCTTGAAGCCCCGACCCCCCCCTTTTCAGGGGGAGAAAATGAATAAAGTGAATAAGCCACTTAATTTTAATCCCTCCTCCCCTCCCCCTTATTAAAGACAATTTGGATTCTAACGAGAGTCCTTCAGTGTTTTCTTCATTCATGTCCGCACACTGATATTTTTGTAGGAGGAAACCCCTATGACGGCATGACTGGAGAAGAGGTGTTCAGTTTTGTGGCAAGTGGTCGGAGAATGCGCAAAACGTCAGCTATAAGCCCTGAACTGTAAGTCGTCCACTGGTTAAGGAATCCTTTCGTGAATACGTCACGACCGCTATTCAGCTGCAGGCTCGATCAAAGCAGTGAGGAGTGGGTCACATGAAAAAAAAGCAGATAAACGCATCTGCTGTTTTTTTTTTTGTTTTTTTTTTTCCCAATTGCTATATTTCAGCCTATATTGGTCATAGAGCGGACTGATTTTTTAAGTGATATATTTGTATATATTTTTTTAGCGAAATCGGTTCAAGGTACTACCGCGTAGTCACGTAACCAGCTCACACTTTTTACCGTACTGCATACGTCTTAATGGCAACAACCTTCCTTTATTATCTTTATCTAGTTATGAGCTTATGCTTCAGTGCTGGAACAAAGAACCTTCCAAGCGACCTAAGTTCAACAATATTGTGGATTGGATGGAGACTTCATACACCCGTTCATAGAAGTCATTTGAATTAAAGATGACACGAGACATCTTCTTCACCGGATACTATTCGACTGATCGCTCTATCTTGTCTACTTGTTCTGAGGAAAATGACGGAATACTCATAGTCTAGTTTTACATATTAAATACTTATTGCCACTGATCCATATCAATTACAACGACATAACCCTTAGTTTTTCTTAGGCAATATGCGAATTCTGCATGTAAATTTCTTGAAATCTAACGGAGTATTATGTGTATAAAGGCGCGTTCCATTGATCGTATTCCGGAGTAATAATACGCAAAAGTTTTGTCACAAATCTTTTCTACCGTTATTTTTTATATATATAAAACATAATATTTCATTTCAAACAGTTTAGTAAAAATTGAAACACAATAAAAGCCAAAGCAACTGATTACCGATGTTTCAATCCATTTATACTTACGGTCAATCGAACAAGCTCTAACTGAATTTAGTAATAAATCCAACTAGTGGTCTATTA